GGTTAATTTGTGCAGTCAAAATAAACTCATGCCAATAATGGTTGTCACCCCCACCCCACCCCAACCGCACACACACCTCACACCCACAACCCGCACCCCCTCTCCAATCAAAAAAATTGAAGGGGGTGACAACCATTATTGGCGTAAGTATATATAATTCAGAGACTAAGAGTTAGTCTACAATTAGCATCACACATACTCATGCCGTAGATGCGTTACTTAAAATCAGATTTAATTAAACATCTTTTAGTTTAATTAAAGGAATTCTTATGCTAGCAACGCTCTGGTTTGGTGTGGGGAGGCCTTTCGTTGAACCAAATGGGACATACATCAGTCGTTTACTGACAAAAATGCTGCCTCAGTGTTAGCTTTTAATATAATATTCCGCCATCGGAATAGCCCACCAAAGACAAACATCTTCAAGTCTACTTTCGTTCGACCGTACACGCCATTATGTTGATTTTACCTCAGAGTATGTTTGTAGGGTGAGTTGATATTATAAACATACATATATACATGTACACACAGGACCTAGTTACTGTCACCTCGCTGTATACATTACCAGGTGTGGGAACACAGGTGCTTGGTTTAGATAGCTCTTTAAACACGGTGTACAACATTGTTAGCGGTGCGTGTAAGTCAGAGAGGTACTTGTGCTGACATGCAGGTTAATACTGAATATGTATATTGAAGTTGATCTTGTGTATACGGCACATACGATACTGATATGGTGTGGAGTTCATCCTATAAATGCTAGAACGTCCCTGTAAATAACTCCTTAAATATGACGACCAGAATCAAGAGTCTTGTTTATTGAATTTCCGTCGATGTTATCTTGAGTCATGATTATTAACCAGTCCATTATTCCCAGAGTATGTGGGCGGTGTTCGGAGGGGCAGTAACTGTAATTTTAGTATGCTGACGATGTTGCCCTCATTGCACCTGACTAGCGCTCTTTACAGCGAATGTTAGATTGTGTAACAAATTGGTGTGCGCGATGGCGCTTAAATGTCGACATTAAGAAAACTAAGGTTGTGCATTATCGACCCCGGTCCATTAAAATGTCCGATTTTGTTTTTACAATTGGGTCTGATCAGCTTGAAAGTACTCACGCTTATAAGTACCTAGGTGTTGTGTTACAGGAATATCTTGATTTGAATTTTACAGTTAAAGAAGTAGCTAAATTTGGGCACTCGGTGTTATAATTTGTAAATTCAAAGCAGCTGGTGGTTTAGCTTGCAACATTTTCACAACTTTGTACAATAACTTGGTCCAGCCTATCTTATCATATAGATCGGCAATTTTGGGAACGAAGGAATGTAGCTGTATAAATGCTGTCCAAAACAGAGGGTGTAGACTTTTCTTGGCAGTCGGAAGAAAGACTTCAAATTTGGCTGTCCGCGGTGAAATGGGCGAGTACTATTTGCAGATGGTCAGTAAAATTCCGTAGATCGTGGAATAATACTGTTTTCAACCACTTGCTCAGTTTACATTTACCAGTTTATGATCTGAATGATATTACTACTGAAGAGTTTAACTTGTCTAAAATATGTCTGTTATCCTTAGACCATTCTGATTGGTTGTACGGGCTTTGGAACGATACGGCTCAGATAAATGGTAATAAGTTACGTACATACAGACTGTTTAAAGATTCTTTATCAGTGGAACCATATGTCAGTTTATTGATAAACAGAGGTCAGCGCAGTATATTAAGTAAGTTTCGTTGCGGCTCATTGCCATTAGAAATAGAACTAGGGAGATTTACCCGCCCCAAAACACCGCTTATTGAACGAATTTGTAAATTTTGTAATTGCAACGCTGTTGAGGATGAAATACACTTTTTTCATGAGTGTTCTCTCTATACAGATTTACACTATGATTTATGGAACCTAGCTTCCCAATCAACTCCGAACTTCATACAGATGACCGCTGCCGACCAGACTGTTCTTTATGCGGAATGATAAGTTTGTTAGACCCCTAGTCGCGCTATTATGTCACATGTATCAGCAAAGACAACTGCGTCTTTCGTCTCTACCAACCTAATTAATATTTAATTTCTGCTCAGTATCAGGATGTTCTCACCATAACTTTAGATCTTGCACTCGATAACTTTCATTTTATATATATGCATGATCTGTGCTTCCTCTCATTTTTATCTAAACGTATGTGTCGTCCTGCGTGTCTCATAGGCCATATTGGCCGGGCACTGTATATTATAGTGACGCATTTTTATTGTCGTTGTGTTACAGTGCGTGACACGAAAATAAAATAATTTTCTTTTTCTTCTTCCTGTACGGTATAATTGACACACAATAGCCTATTTCTGAAACTTTTAAAAGATCAAAGGAGTGTTAATTGATTTAAATCTCAGATAGGAAACGAAAAATCCGATAATTAATCCTCGGTTTTGTCCAGTCACATTTAATTTGATACGTGCATGGAAAACCACGTCCCCTCTTGGGGACTCTGTCAGCGCCAGTTCTGACCCATTTCTTGATAATTAATGAACGCGTGGTATATGTGTCCACAGGGGAACTAGCTCTTAATTAAGATGAAGTGTACGTTGACGAAAACGAAGGCATAGTTGAGTTCAAACTTCTTTAGTTGGCTACACAAGACATGACAAACAAGTATATATACATGAATGAGGGTGAGCGGAGTTCCAGCTCAACCCCAGGGCGTTTCCTACGAGCGGCATTATCCTGCTCGCGGTCGTCCCTACACAGACAGTCGGAATACCGGACTCCACTTTGATGTAGATGCGAGCATATATATATACAGTTTTTTACAACAATGGACAGGCAAAGACTCAATAATGGACAGACAGAGAAGCAATAGCACTTTCTAGAACCAGTTGATGTGATCACAGACACAGCCAAGGGGGATGACCAATTAAGGCCATAAATGCCAAATACAATATATAATGGCAGTGACAGTACTAGCATAGTACAGGGTGGCTGCCAAGACAATGTACAATGTAGTAGTGATAAGGATTAAGAATGCAGATTAAATAATTACAATTAAGTTTCACATGGCTTGGCTACATAGTCTTTGGTCTCTAGAAATATTTGGACGATGGCTGTCCTGAATTAGACGCTATAACAATTTATTAGCATAATAATCATTATTTGAATAAATTATTTGAAGCTAGTTTGAGTTTATCTATACAGTAGTTCATTGCGGGAATGGTAGAATTTCAACATACAATCTATTTAGTTTCTTTAACAGATAATATCGAATAAACAACATATTCTTTCCTTGAAACGATCCCTCGAAAGCGAAGCTGTTAGGTGTGCAGGTGAACATACGGATGATTATTCACGTGATTGTTATTACGGTGGGTCCGTGGGGGCGTTCTCCGTCAATTCTTTCTGGCTGACCTGTCACACACTGAAATCAGTTATAAATTCAGACAGGCGATGGAGGTCAATCTCCCCGTGAAGAGCTCTGCCAGAGCCTCCAGGAGCTCGGGTAGCTAGGGTAGGAATGATTGTATACTGTATAGTTAGCTTCACAGTCCCGAAAACACAATATTGGCCCAACTGCCCCCTTCCCGAAATGCTTAACTTCTAAACAATGAAAGTCTAGATTTCCTCAGGGTCAGGCTCCCTGAATCTCACATCTCAGTGGGGCTCCTTTCCAATTTAAGTGTTTGTGTTTTTAGTTACCATCAAAATAATATATTCAGAGACTAAGCGTTACTGTATGGTGATGGAGGGATTGTTTGGAATGAGAGTAGGGTTAGAGGTACGGATAGGTGGGGGATGGGGTGGGTATCGGCGTCGATATCGGGTACGGGTGGTTTTAGCGATAGTCTCCGGGAATCAGCCACCCGTCAGGATGTTGCATTCCACCTGTCCCTGTTTCTGTTTTGTTTCAATGTGTGAAGCCATTTCTGGTGTCCCCGTCGTGATATTGCTGGAATATGGTACAAGTGGCGTAGAACTAAACTCACTCACTCACTCACTGTTTTGCTTCGTCTGCTTTTGTTGCAAGGGAGGCAACTGTGTGTATTCTGCGCAGGAGATATCAGACTTCAACTTCACTCTGCTTCGCCCGGAACCACCGATCTGCTGCTGGTACTGAACCTCTCAGATAAACGTGGTTTCTCGATTCGATATATATTCAAATCAGGTCATCTGGAAGGAAGTACATGTGGTCCCTAGAGTTGCGTCCCTTGAGGACATAAGGACCAGACTCTGGGGTTCGAATGTTTCTAGACCCAGTAACCCAATCCGATCTTTGTTCTCGTTCCTGCTAAACAAAGCTGTGAGAACATCCCGTTAAGGCCACGTCAGATCAAACATTTTTATGCGATAGATCAGAGTGACTTATACCGGAAGTTTCAAACGTAGACTGGAATGCAGCTCGCCAGCTTAAAACTAGCTCGATAAAGATAATTTCTGATTGGCTGATGTCCACTTCCTGTCAGTATATTTGGCCGGAAGTTCGGAAAGGTCATGCGCACGTGACCAGTTTCTCGTTCCGTAGGGGGTGGTCGGGTAGCCTTGTGGTTAAACCGTTCGGTTGTCACGACGAAGACTGGGTTCAATTCCCCACATGGGTGCATTTCTGAAGCCCATTTCTGGTGTCCCCACAATATTGCTGGACTATTGCTAGAAGCGGTGTAAAAACAAAACTAAACTCACTCACTCGTTTGACAGTAGCGACCTGATCTGCTTGTAAGAGATGGTCTAGCTTCGTTCAGATGATGTCATCGGACGCGGACGACGTTGATCGCTATTCATTTCACTGCTTGGTTCGTCAAAAATAGATTATGTAAGGACCGCTGTCAGGCGGACTTTTGCTATGTTCGGCGTTAAAAATCCCAAAATTAAACATAAACCACCACCCACCCTAAAAGGGCCTCACAAACCAAAATAAACATCAGAAGACAAACAAACAAACAAACAATAGAAAACCAGGAACTGATCTCCTGTTTTAGACATGTTTTCCACATTTATGCTGTATTGTTCACTCACTCACTCACTGATTTCCAGGCACGGAGTGTCCATCAGGCACGACGGGAATGACGACACCGTCCCCGACGACTAAACCACTGGTGACGGATGTGAGGATACCCCTGGCGCTGTACCCCGTGTATTACGACATAGAAATACAGCCAAACATGTACGAAGGACCGGCCGAGAACTTTACCTTCAATGGGAAAACAAGAATCCAGCTTCGCTGCGACACACCCACCCGGAACGTCACTCTGCATACCAACAAACTTCAGATCACTCCCGGAAGTTTGGAATTTGGCGCGGAACCTGGAACGGCCGCAGCGCCCTCTATCGACAACTGGGTGTGGGACAAGGACCGACAATTCATGGTGATCCATCTGAACGGGGTCCTTGTAAAAGATGGGCTGTACTATGTGAAGATGAGTTACATTGGGCCCCTGAAAGATGACCTGCACGGGCCTCTATCTGTCCAAATATGAACAGAATAACGACACGATGTAAGTGTATGTTTTATAAAACGGATAGCGTTGTCGATGTGTGTAACCAGTCCAACAAACTGGGTACCACGATCCAGTTCTACAATATGAGACCGCTTACCAGAATCTATTTTTGATTAGAAGAGTGTCCCAGAGAGTTGTTCCTATCATTAGTGTGTAATGTTATTCCTAATAAGTGATATTTACCTTACACCTAGCTATTAATGGCTACTAAGAAATATAACCACTGTGTGTTGTTTCCTTGCATTGGTGGTTCGAACCCCGCCAGCGTTAAGCCATAAGACGTTACAAAATTGGTACTTGCTGTGCCCCTGTGTGACACTGGGAATTACAGAAATAAAGCAAGAACTAGTGGGTGCCGAGTCAGTATACAGTACCTGTGAATCCACCTGGGAGCATAGTATCTAAATGAACATGCAAGAGATTGATGATACCCTGCTCGGCCACTCATACCAGAAAACATTAGACAGTGGTACTGGTTGTTTCCGTGTATGTCGCTTGGCATTAAGGGGCGAGACGTAGAGGGTTCAGCCAGAGTGGGGTATCCATTTTAAAATGCATCATATTTTCTATGGGCCTGCTCTGCAGTACGCTTATGCACGTCACACTATAAGGGCAGTAATTATAAATGCGTTTAAGCCCAGTTCGTCTCACCTAATACTGCAGTCATTTATTCAATTTCACCTAATACAGCAATCGTTTATTCAATCAGCTACGTTGCCGCGACCCAGTTCCAGCCTACCGACGCCCGAAAGGCATTCCCCTGTTTTGACGAGCCCGCCATCAAGTCTAACTTCAATATCACCCTGGTGAGGAAGAGCCATCTCAGGTCACTGTCCAATATGCCGATCACCGACTCTCAAGACAGGTAACCTGTAGTGCCTCCACGTCTACTGTCAATTATAAACAAGCGCCACATGTTTGTATCGAAACAGATATAAAGACCAAGCCTAACATGTCACTATTATCAAAGATGTGTCAGTACTAAGCCTTGTATATCAATATCATCAGGAAATATCAGGCATGTTCCTGCATGCAGCTGCATGTTGCTGAATGTTGCTATATGTTGCTGCATGTTACAATATGTTGCTGTATGTTGCTGTATGTTGTATGTTGCTGCATGTTACAATATGTTGCTGTATGTTGCTGTATGTTGTATGTTGCTGCATGTTGCTGTATGTTGTTGTATGTTGCTGCATGTTGCCGTATGTTACTATATGTTGCTGTTTATTACTTATGTTGCTGTATGTTACTTATGTTGCTGCATGTTGTTGCAATCAAAAGTAGAATTTTATCAGGTGTCAGCCTTTGAGACGACCCCGCTATCTACTGTTATAAACCACTTTTGCATTTTTTCAGGGGGAACAACTGGGTGGCTGATGTTTACCAGACAACCCCGAAGATGCCAACATACCTGGTTGCTTTTGTTGTGTGCAACTTTGAATATACCAATCAAACCACGACCAACAACATACTGGTGAGTTTATGAAAGTAAAGATTAAGAGACGGCTCCTATATAAGTAATAAGGTTGACCCTGTGTAGGTTATAAGACAGACACTGTGTAAGTAACAAGACAGACACTGTGTAAGCTATAAGACAGACACTGTGTAAGTAACAAGACAGACACTGTGTAGCTTATAAGACACACACTGTGTAAGTTATGACAGACACCGTGTAAGTTATGACAGACACCGTGTAAGCTATAAGACAGACACTGTGTAAGCTATAAGACAGACACTGTGTAAGTTATAAGACAGACACTGTGAAGGTTGTAAGACACACACTGTGTAAGCTATAAGTCAGACACTGTGTAAGTTATAAGACACACACTGTGTAAGCTATAAAACAGACACTGTGTAAGTTATAAAACAGACACTGTGAAGGTTATAAGACAGACACTGTGTAAGCTATAAGATAGACACTGTGTAAGTTATAAGACACACACTGTGTAAGCTATAAGACAGACACTGTGTAGGTTATAAGACAGACACTGTGTAAGTTATAAAATTGATACGGTTAAGGTTATAAGACATACACTGTATAGGTTATAAGACACACACTGTGTAAGTTATAAGCCAGACACTGTGTAGGTTATAAGACAAACACTGTGTAAGTTATACGACAGACACTGTTAGCTATAAGACAAACACTGTGTAAGTTATAAGACAGACACTGTGAAGGTTATAAGACACACACTGTGTAAGTTATAAGCCAGACACTGTGTAGGTTATAAGACAGACACTGTGTAAGTTATAAGACAGACACTGTTAGCTATAAGACACACACTGTGTAAGCTATAAGACAGACACTGTGTAGGTTATAAGACAGACACTGTGTGTATAAAATTATGTGAAATTGACACACTGTATAGGTTATAAGACAGACACTGTGTAAGTTATAAGACAGACACTGTGTAAGTTATAAGCCAGACACTGTGTAGGTTATAAGACAAACACTGTGTAAGTTATACGACAGACACTGTTAGCTATAAGACAGACACTGTGTAAGTTATAAGACAGACACTGTGAAGGTTATAAGAAAGACTCTGTGTAAGCTATAAGACAGACACTGTGTAAGTTATAAGACAGACACTGTGTAAGGTATAAGACAGATACTGTGTAAGTTATAAGACGGACACTGTGTAGGTTATAAGACAAACACCTTGTAAGTTATAAGACAGACACCGTGTAAGGTATAAGACAGACACCGTGTAAGGTATAAGACAGACACTGTGTAAGTTATAAGACAGACACTGTGTAAGTTATAAGACAGACACTGTGAAGGTTGTAAGACAGACACTGTGTAAGCTATAAGTCAGTCACTGTGTAAGTTATAAGACAGACACCGTGTACGTTATAAGACACACACTGTGAAGGTTGTAAGACAGACACTGTGTAAGCTATAAGTCAGTCACTGTGTAGGTTATAAGACAGACACTGTGTAAGCTATAAGACAGACACTGTGTAAGTTATAAGACACACACTGTGTAGGTTATAAAACAAACACTGTGTAAGTTATAAGACAGACACTGTGTAAGTTATAAGACAGACACTGTGTAAGTTATAAGACAGACACTGTGTAAGTTATAAGACAGACACTGTGTAAGCTATAAGACAGACACTGTGTAAGGTATAAGACAGACACTGTGTAAGCTATAAGACAGACACTGTGTAAGTTATAAGACAGACACTGTAAGGTATAAGACAGACACTGTGTATAAGACACACTGTGTAAGGTATAAGACAGACACTGTGTAAGTTATAAGACAAACACTGTGTAAGTTATAAGACAGACACTGTTAGCTATAAGACAGACACTGTGTAAGTTATAAGACAGACACTGTGTAAGGTTATAAGACAGACACTGTGTAAGCTATAAGACAGACACTGTGTAAGGTATAAGACAGACACTGTGTGAGCTATAAGACAGACACTGTGTAAGGTATAAGACAGACACTGTGTAAGTTATTAGACATACACTGTGTTGGTTATAAGTCAGACACTGTGTAGGTTATAAGACAGACACTGTGTAGTTTATAAGACACACACTGTGTAAGTTATAAGACAGTCACTGTATAGGTTATAAGACATACACTGTGAAGGTTATACGACGGACGCTGTGAAGATGATGAGACAGACACTGTGTATTGTGCGGGTGTGGTGCGTACCTGTACTAGGTCGGGCTAACGCTGGACATTATGCCACAACATGAATTCACAGATACAGTATACTTCCTCCGCACCCACTTGTCCTTGCTCTACTCCCTGTATTACGAGTGGAAACAATACATACATTTTCGTGGCGCTTCCTTGTCTGTGCAGTCGCCTGTTCGGGTTCGTGTCCGACCCAGGCGCTATGTATGAAGCCCACTCACGTGTCCCCGTCTGGGTGTGCCCAGAACATGGCCACGCATTAACAGACACGTTCAGTGGTATTCTTTGTTGTGTATGCAGTACAGGGCGTGGTCCAGGCCGGAGTCAGTGGACCAGACCCCCTACGCCCTGGATGTGGGGGTGAAGATCTTGACTTACTATGAGGAGTACTTCGATGTTCGTTTTCCTCTCCCAAAACAAGGTGAGTGAGTGAGTGGGAGGTTAGTTGGTTGAGTGAGTGAGTGTGAATAGTTGTCTGTGCAGATGTGTGAGTGAGTGAGTGTCTTGTCACGAGGAAGTGGAGTGGAACGAGTGAGTACGTTTTGACAAATATTTCAGTTATTTTACATCTCAGCTATTTGCAGGAAGGTTCGTGATGGATGTCTACCATTTTAGAAGTTTTGTTATTCCCTCAAGTATAACATGTTTCATTTTTTCTCTGTGACCTGCCTGATGATCGTTCCAGACATGATCGCCATACCTGACTTCGCTGCTGGTGCCATGGAGAACTGGGGTCTCATCACGTACAGAGAGACGGCCATGTTGTATGAACCGGGCGTGTCGTCAGAGGGCAACAAACAGCGAGTCGCCGTTGTTGTGTCTCACGAACTGGCACATCAGGTGTGTTATGTTAACAGGTGTCTGTACAGGTGTCTGTACAGGTGTGTTGTGTCAACAGTTGTCTGTACAGGTGTGTTGTGTCAACAGTTGCCTGTACAGGTGCGTTGTGTGACCAGTGGTCTGTACAGGTGTGTTGTGTGAACAGTTGTCTGTACAGGTGTGTTGTGTGACCAGTGGTCTGTACAGGTGTGTTGTGTGAACAGTTGTCTGTACAGGTGTGTTGTGTGAACAGTTGTCTGTACAGGTGTGTTGTGTGAACAGTTGTCTGTACAGGTGTGTTGTGTGAACAGTTGTCTGTACAGGTGTGTTGTGTGAACAGTTGTCTGTACAGGTGCGTTGTGTGAACAGTTGCCTGTACAGGTGTGCTGTGTGACCAGTGGTCTGTACAGGTGCGTTGTGTGAACAGTTGCCTGTACAGGTGTGCTTTGTGAACATTCGTCTGTACAGGTGTGCTGTGTGAACAGTTTTCTGTACATGTGTGTTGTTTGAACAGTTGTCTGTACAGGTGCGTTGTGTGAACAGTTGTCTGTACAGGTGCGTTGTGTGAACAGTTGTCTGTACATGTGTGTTATGTGAACAGCTTTAAGAGCATTTAGAAGTTGGAGCAGCGTTTTGTTTCATTGTTTGCAAATGTCCAGTATGTTCAAACATCATATCATGGCAGCTGGGCATTGGAAGGGATAGGAACACGTGGTGTGGTTCAAAGAGATCAAATTCCTTGAATCCCCCATGGAGTTTGATGTCAACAACCTACCCCATTTGTCAAAGGCGGCCAAAAGGATTGTGTGGTCAGACTCATTGATTGGGTTGCTTACGTCGTGGATCGTTGTTCGGATTGTCAGTCACTGGATTGTGTGGTCGAGAATCGGTTATTTACACGTCACCTTCAAACCGCTGGAATATTGCTAAGTCCGACATTCAACAAAACACACACATACATCTAATTTAGAGAGTACAATTAAGGCGATGTAGGTAAACAGGTGCTCTTTATCTGCAGTGGTTTGGAGATCTTGTGACGCCATCTTGGTGGGATGACCTCTGGTTAAACGAGGGCTTCGCCAGCTTTGTGGAATACATGGGAGTGGATTTCGTTCATCCAGACTGGAAGATGGTAAGTTATGGCATCACGAAATATACTTATCTTAATTTACAAGACCTGTATAATATGTCATGCCTTGAGCTTTACCGTACGAGGGGTACAATATCTCCAAGTCGTGTATATGTCTCCGTGTGTTTTACCGTCCGAGGGGTACAATATCTCCAAGTCGTGTATATGTCATGCCTTGTGTTTTACCGTACGAGGGGTACAATATCTCCAAGTCGTGTATATGTCATGTCTTGTGTTTTACCGTACGAGGGGTACAATATCTCCAAGTCGTGTATATATGTCTTGTGTTTTACCGTACGAGGGGTACAATATCTCCAAGGTCTTGTCTTTACCGTACAATATCTCCAAGTCGTGTATATCTCTTGTCAAGTCGTGTATATATGTCTTGTGCTTTTACCGTACGAGGGTCGTATATATGTCTTGTGCTTTACAATATCTCCAAGTCGTGTATATATGTCTTGTGTTTTACCGTACGAGGTGTACAATATCTCCAAGTCGTGTATATATGTCTTGTGTTTTACCGTACGAGGGGTACAATATCTCCAAGTCGTGTATATATGTCTTGTGTTTTACCGTACGAGGTGTACAATATCTCCAAGTCGTATATATGTCTTGTGTGTTTCGGCACCGTAGGTCGTGTATATATATGTGTACAATATCTTCCAAGTCGTGTAAGTACGAGGGGTACAATATCTCCAAGTCTTGTGTTTTTCCGTATATATATGTCTTGTGTTGTCTTGTGTTTTACCGTACGAGGGGTACAATATCTCCAAGTCGTGTATATGTCATGTCTTGGACAGTTTGAGCAGTTCGTAGTGGAGGATCTCCAAGACGTCTTCGACTTCGACAGCCTCATCTCCTCTCACCCCGTGTACGTTCCTGTTGCCCACCCTGACGAGATCAATGAGATATTTGACAGGATCTCATACGCTAAGGTAGGATCATCCTCTGCTCACAGGGGCAAAATATCATGAATGCCTCTACAAATATATATGGACACGGATCTTCTCCAACATGTTTCACTTGTATCTTCAGTACGCTCGGTATTCTCATCACCTTCTTTATATATATATATATATATATGTATGTATGTATATATATCGATCACTATGCCATCCCTCCACGGACTGACTTCAGTGTTTTTGTTTTTCACACAAAGCGTGCATGGTGGGCCATGGGGATAAAACGCTGTAACTCCATCACGCAAAGAAAGATATATTCAAGTGCAATCTTGTGAATACACCCCAACAATAACAACTTCACTGCTAGCTTCAGCATTAACAGATAACAGCCTAACACAAGAATACGAAATCGATGAAATTGTCCAGCGCAATAATGCAAAACACGCCCCGCCCGTCGTCTTAGCAGTCAGTCAGTAGTACGTTAGTGGGCGTGGCCTATGTAATTATCATTGTTTTATCAAAGCGTTCTTTAACCAATCAGTCGTTACAGAATTACATGCAGTTTGTTTGAATACAAGCCGTATCAGTGTTACTAGCAGTTTAATACCGGCTCAGCCACCAGTACAGCAGTGCTTATTAATTTTGAGAATGTCACGCATTTTGTTCGCAGGTAAGTAATCATGTATATCATGTGCATGCATTTGCGTTCTGCATGTATTGTTTTATACAATGCCTGTGTTGCAGGGGGCCTCCATTATCCGGATGATGCGGTTTTTCCTGGGGGAGGAGACGTTCCGTCTCGGCCTCTCCGTAAGTATTCTGGGGTTATTTCGACTCCCCCTCCTCCCCTCTTCTCTCTCTCTCGCCCCTCTCTCCTTCTCTCTCTCTCTCTCTCTCTCTCTCTCTCTCTCTTTCGTCCTCTCTCTCCTCCTCCTCTCTCCCTCTCTCTCTCTCTCTCTCTCTCTCTCTCTCTCTCTCTCTCCCTCTCTCGTCTATCGCTCACATCAGCCTCTAATTAAGTATATCACCATGTCTTTTCTTTCTTCCTCTCTAACTTTCTCTCTCACTAAATCATTCTCTCAATCAATTCCGCGTGTGTTTCAGAAATACCTCAAGAGCAAGGCTTACGCTGCTGCGTTTCACGACGATCTGTGGGCCTCCCTCACCGAGGTGAGTCCCAAGTATGATTGTCTACAGTGTTCACAAGCTCTAAGTGTCATATGTCATACATGATAATAATACAGTTGAACATATTTGTCTGTGGCCTGTTTTTCACGACTCAGCAAGAAACAACGACGAAAGATTTCACAAACAACCTTCACATATGTATCACATGGGTGAGAGGTCTTAGGGACAGCTCTGCACACTATGGCATTGGAAATAATCAACGAGATCATCAGCCATCGATACAAGCAGGGACATAGTACTGTCAACGCGTTATACGTCGACTGGGGAATTAACTCGGAATTAAGACGAAGTGTACGTACAATACGTTGACAAGACGAAGGAATTCGTTGAGCTCAAACTTCTTTAGTTACATGACAAACAAATACACAAGACATAAATGTGGTGAGCGAGTACCTGCTCAACCCCAGGGCGTTTCCTACGAGCGGCATTATCCTGCTCGTGGTCGTCCCTACAGACAGTCGGAATACCTGACTCGTACTCCTTCACCGTCTAGATGTGAGCATACTAAGTATATATGTTCACTTTTTGACAACAATGGACAAGCGATGACTCAACAATTGACAGACAGAAAAACAGTTATATAGCACTTCCTTGACCAGTTGATGTGATGGCAAACACGGCCAAGGGGGATTACCAATGAAGGTTATAAATGTCAAATACAGTAATTAATTGCCTGACAAGTCAATGTACAATGCGGAAGTGATAAGGATTACATAGAATACAGATTAGCGTCATATAAATTATTACAATAAAGTCTCACATGTCTTGACTACATAGTTTTTTACTTTTTAAATATTTGGACGATGGCTGTCCTGAATTAGTCCCTATAACAGTACCAAAAACAACTTCTTCTGTTCACGTGACGGCGGTGGAGGAGCCTAGTGGTTCAAGCGTTCGCTCCTTACGCCGAAAACCCGGGTTCGATTTCCCACATGGGTTTCTGGCTGTATGTCTAAATTCAATGTCTTGCGCAATTCTGTATGGTGGTTCATTTGTGAGTGAGTGAGTATTGCTTTACGCCGCTTTTAGCAATATTCCAGCAATATCACGGCGGGGGACACCAGAAATGGGCTTCACACATTGTACACATGTGGGGAATCGAACCCGGGTCTTCGGCGTGACGAGCGAACGCTTTAACCACTAGGCTACCCACCGCCCCCGGTTAATTTGTGTAATGTGTTTGCATTTAAATTTTGATATTTACAGTTATTCACTGACCTGCACGTTCGGTGATTTCCATATATTTAACGTGATACAAATTTCAAAATATATTTGACTGTTAAATAGATTATACGTTCGATAGCGAAACTATTTGACAATACATTTATGATATCAAAACTATTAAACAGGATACTTTTGATGTTGAAAATATTGAATAGGATATTTTGATATGGGGCTGGGCGTTATGGCCACAGTGGAGTCCGGATATACGAGGTGTCCCCTTTTTACAGCAATCAAACCTTGAGGGGAAAAACATCAACGTGAAGGAAGTGATGGACACCTGGACGCTGCAGATGAACTACCCGGTTGTCATGGTGATTCGTGAAGGCACACGCATTAGGGTATCCCAGCAACGCTTTCTGACAGACGCTAACGCTACCGATCCCGGAAAATACACGTCCAGTTTCGGGTACGTGTCACGTGTCACTGAGGGGGGCTGCTGGTGGGATATACCGACCCTGACACAAATATACCCCAATATAACCCCATGCGACTCCTTTTTATATTTTATTAATATTATGTAAGAACCATCTTTTGTCTGTAAAATAGGTTAATAATAGAGACTTCATTTCAGTCTAGGGCCTCGTGAGCTATACATGTATTTTGTTCGCCTGCTATAGGGCCCACATGCACGAAGCCATTTTAGCGCTACGACTATCTTAATGAGAAACAAAACGCCAACACCCAGTCTTCTAACCGGCGCCATTTTAATTATTCCTCGTAACCACCGATGACAGTTAATGTCAGCGACTCAACAAACTGGGTTTCGGACCAGCCAGGCAGAAAGGCTCTTTGACAGTTCTCATGAGGAATTACCTTGAATTATCATATTTCATATGAAGGAAAACCTTGGAGTATTATTTCCCTTTAAGTCCATGTGAGAGATAGAGCTAAAATCGCGTTGTGCATATGGGCCCTGGTCGAAAGTATAACTTTCACCTTTGGTGTGTGTGTGAGTCTAGGTTTACACCGCTTTATTCCAGCAATATCACGACGGGGGGCACCATTCAACTTTGGTGTGTGTGAGTCTAGGTTTACACTGCATTGTTCCAGCAATATCACGACGGGGGGCAACATTCAACTTTGGGTGGGGGTTAGTTTGTGGTGGCTTTACGTGCTCTCTCGAATGACTCATTTCAAACCATCGCTGAAATAGTATACCCCTATATTCACAAACCATTGCCCGTTCATAACACCAAACATTTTGATCGAAATGCAGTTTTTAAAAGTTATGAACGTGTAAGGAGATTCAAAGGAAAGACAACTCTGTGTTAACAATAGATGTCGGACAGCACTGAGTGTGTGAGTTGAGTGAGAGGGTGGGAGGCAGAGACTGCGGGGTTTGGTAGGGAGGGAGTGAGGGAGCGTCCAGACTCACTCACGCCAGCTGTGACTGCGTGTGTTGTACAGGTACAAGTGGGAGATACCTTTCGCCTACACCAGCAGCATCGAGAACAACTTCAACAAGACTGACGCCGACATCAGCTGGATCAAACCCAACAGCAACCAATGTAAGTACCCTATTGGTCTAACAACCTGAACCACTTCAACATCATCGGAGTGTGTGAGTGAGTGAGTGAGTGAGTGAGGGTGTTGGGCTTAACGCCGCCTTTAGCAATACTCCAGTAATATCAAGCGAGGGACACCAGAAATGGGATGCACATATTGCACCTAGTTTTGTAAACTGGATTCATTCAGAACCGATTTTGATAGTAAGTTCCCATCACTTGCTCATGAAAACGAACAACTATCGAACGGCTGCAGTTATCAAGAAATCTGACAACCAGGTAGCCCAGTCGTGCCGGAATATTTTAATAATTCATGAGTTAAGTGGCAACCATGGTGAAAGTTGGCCAGAAAGTGAACAACTAACAGTATTGTAATTGAAAGGGCGCATTGCCTTTTCTCCAAATCAGGGACCCGGCCGTAAAATATGCTTTCTGCAAAGACAAATTACAAGTGCTTGATGCGGCCCGAAAATCCCTCAGTCGTGATGACACTGGGTGCTGTTATCTTATCTGAAGACTTCACAGAAGTGTCGATCCAAGCTGTTCCCTTTTATGAAAAGCGCCAGAGAGGAAGGTAAAACTGCGTCTCTATACTGCGATGTACTTGTTATCGAAGGCAATGTGAATAGCTATGACTTTGTAGAAGAAAACACTAGAGAGATAGGGAGGCGTCGTAAATGGGAAGCTCGACCGTGCAGTCAGCTCTGAGATACCCTACCAGATATATAGCCATGGAGTTTAGCAGTCCGGTCGTCGTCTCAATGAAACTACTGGTGTTAAAGACAAGGATAGTGAAGGAACAAATACAGTACACATATGTGCGGGAAACATTTGTGCACTTAGATCCAAATTGCAAATGTATGACTTCTTAATTTCCTCAAACTATTATATGTTTTCTCTTATAGAAACTATGGTGGAAAACGGTAAGGATATAGTATGTAACATATTGAGTGATTATACCTGCTATGAAGTTAATGCCAAATGATTTTCACAGAAAGGGAGATTTTCAGGGGGCATTATTGCATGAGTGAGATCACTGCTGACGTCACAGCTCACACGTGTGTATGAACACTGGGATAACTGCATTTTCTTTAACGTGACTTCTGTTAATCCTGTTACTCTATTTCTTGGCTTTACTTATATCAATCCCGAAAATTCACCGGAGTATAAAACAGCTGAACATAACGGTATCATAACATCCTTGAACAAAAGTTACTACAAATAGTGTATCATTTTGGTCATTCATGGAGGTTCGTATTGTGTCGGGACTTCAATGCCCGTTTGTCTACTGAACACGATTATGTGGTTGATGATAACGTCAAATATCTGTCTCTAGACAATGATCTATACCTAGGTGATGATTTCGACTTACCAAGACACATTTGTAACACAGAAATAAATATATCTTGCTGGTCACTAATTAACGTTTGCAAGATTCATAATACTCATGTTATAAACAGGAAGAAAGCTGTGATATTCCCAGCAACTTTACGTTTGTGTCCCACTCCGTAGACTAATGCTTAGTCTCTGAATATATATAAGTTTGATAGTAACAAACAAGCCCATTTAAATTGAAAAGGAGCCCCAATCAGACCAGAGGAAATCTAGACTTGCTGTATTTAGGGCTTTCGCACTGCAGAGAGGGATTGACAGTAGGGACAATAATGTGGTTCAGGGACTGTGAGACAGACTACCCACTCCGGTACACGTGTAGCTGACTACTGTCTGGTATCATCTTCATTATGTAACAATGTCCAGGATTTCGAAGTTGTCGTCCGATGGGAATCTGACCTTATGCCTATAACATGTACTAACTGCATTTTCTTTAACGTGACTTCTGTTAATCCTGTTACTCTATTTCTTGGCTTTATTTATATCCATCCCGAAAATTCACCGGAGTATAAAACAGCTGAAAATAACGGTATTGACATCCTTGAACAAAAGCTACTACAAATAGTGTATCATTTTGGTCATTCATGCAGGTTGGTATTGTGTCGGGACTTCAATGCCCGTTTGTCTACTCAACACGATTATGTGGTTGATGATAACGTCAAATATCTGTCTCTAGACAATGATCTATACCTAGGTGATGATTTCGACTTACCAAGACACATTTGTAACACAGAAATAAATATATCTTGCTGGTCACTAATTAACGTTTGCAAGATTCTTAATACTCATGTTATAAACAGGAAGAAAGCTGTGACATTCCCAGCAACTTTACGTTTGTGTTCCACTCCGTACACTACTGCTTAGTAACAAACAAGCCCATTTAAATTGAAAAGGAGCCCCAATGAGACCATAGAAAATCTAGACTTGCTTCATTTAGGGCTTTAGCACTGCAGAGAGAGCTTGGCATTAGGGACAATAATGTGGTTCAGGGACAGACTACCCACTCCGGTACAAGTGTAGTAGACTACTGTCTGGTATCATCTTCATTATGTAACAATGTCCAGGATTTCGAAGTTGTCGTCAGATGGGAATCTGACCTTATGCCTATAACATGTACACTTGAAAATATCTTTGATTGCAAACGGTCTGAAAGCAACAAGAAGTTAGGCTCCTTATGACCGTCTGTTACTTATCAACTTGATGGTAAACGAGTATCTGAATTTCGTGAACAGTTTTCGAGGGAAGCAAGCCAAATTGTAAGTTTTATAACGCTGATTGAACTAACCGTCCATGAAGCCGTACAATGCCTATCTGAACTATTTACTATGTGAAGAATGAGTACTATTTTTATGGATATACAACTTCTTTATTCTATATGTGCGTCAGTTGGTTCGTTACATACTGTTGTCCAACGTAAACCCCAACAACAGCCTTGGTTTGATCACGAGTGTTCGCTGTGGGTCTGATCATCAGTGTTCGCTGTTGGTTTGATCATGAGTGTTCGCTGTTGGTTTGATCATGAGTGTTTGCTGTTGGTTTGATCACGAGTGTTCGCTGTAGGTTTGATCATGAGTGTTTGCTGTTGGTCTGATCACGAGTGTTCGCTGTTGGTTTGATCATGAGTGTTTGCTGTTGGTCTGATCACGAGTGTTCGCTGTTGGTTTGATCACGAGTGTTCACTGTTGGTTTGATCATGAGTGTTCGCTGTTGGTTTGATCATGAGTGTTCGCTGTTGGTCTGATCATGAGTGTTCGCTGTTGGTTTGATCATGAGTGTTCGCTGTTGGTCTGATCATGAGTGTTCGCTGTTGGTTTGATCATGAGTGTTCGCTGTTGGTTTGATCATGAGTGTTCGCTGTTGGTTTGATCATGAGTGTTCGCTGTTGGTTTGATCATGAGTGTTCGCTGTTGGTTTGATCATGAGTGTTCGCTGTTGGTTTGATCTTGAGTGTTCGCTGTTGAAAGCAGAGAAATATAGATTGTTAAATGTATTCAGAAAATATAAATGTGATGCAACTTTAGCTCGATATATTGCTGCCAGAAGACAGTTTAAGTTGTGCTGTGAAACAAAGAAGAGACTCCATGATATAAATATGGTGGATGAGCTGAATGAAGCAGCAACGATACAAACCATACGGAATTCTGGAATAGGGTTAAGCGGTATCTCTCAAGCACCAACAAAAGTTCAACAATTTCGCCGGAAAAATGACACCGATACTTTGGGCAATTGTTAAATCCTGTTGACTCCTCTCAACCTACGGACTTTGATGAGCGTGTACTGGATTTTATGGAAAACCACGTGTGTGCTAGGTGGGAAGAAAATGTACTGACGGAAGATATGCTATGTGGTAAAAGAACAAATGAGGAAATCCAACATGCTATCGATAAACTAAAATCCGGTAAATCCCCAGGGACAGATGGAATACCTGCCCTGAAGGATTTATTCATTGCTTATCTAAACAGACTGTTTAATACAGTGTTGAACGTAGAGGTGTGACGATACAGACATTTCACGATACAATATATATCGTGATATCTTGGAACGATACGATTCGATTCGATGCATATCACGATGTGCTATCTTTAGATATTTTCTTTAAAAAATATCTATTTTGATAGCAAGTAATAGTGTAAATTTTGGTATAACCGTCAATTTCTAGTGAACATTTACAATTTTAAGGTTAACGATACATATCACGATACGAAAAAAATCGATATATTTATCATAAAGTATCACGCTTATCGAAACTACGATATATCGTCACAGCTCTAGTTGGACAGTGGTACCCCGCTTGTACATTGAAAAAAATATAAGAGCGCTCAGCCAATCAGAAAACGACATTTATGTGTGAGGCAAGATAGTCTGGTTCTGTCTACGATCCAAATAACTTCCGAGGCCTTACCCTACTCAATGCGCAAGGCAGGATTGTCACCTGCAGTCTGGAGAATCGTCTCCGAATGTGGATGGATGTCAATAATCTGTTATCAGAATCTCAAGCAGGATTCCTACCTATTACTAGACAATAAACAATATCCTTACTCTCTAAGCCCTGAAGTACTGTCGGAAATAGAAAAAAAACCCCTGTTTTTAGGCTGTTACTCTGTATCCCTAAATTTACACAATTGCAAACAACATATGTCGAAATAAACCACATCGGCCTAACTGGGCGTTCAGTGGAATGCGTAGTAGGATATCAAGACAAAAGCATGTTTACTCGTAAAATCGGGCAAAACTCAGAAAAAATACGAATAGCTGCTGAAAACAATATATCAGACCAAAGATGGCAATTATGTCGCTCAGCCAGGTATGACGACGGACCGTAGACTCACCTGGCATGAAATGCATATGCTGCCTACTGGCACAAGGGGTCATCTCAAATATAATTTATACTGTTTCATGTGTCTCATTTATTTATTAACATCTTGCGTGTCTTTCGTAATGTTTATGTTGATATATGTAAAAGAGAATGATACCCATAGAAAAGCTTAAATCAGCCATCGTATTAAATGTCTCAAAATATGTACTTGAAACAACCACCCGAAGATCGACAGGACTGGATATTATTTGTAAGTTGATATGACATGCCGCTTGCTTCCCCAGTTTAATTCCCCTAAAGGATTACCTCATCTCAGCTGATATCTCTATCCCCCAGCCCGACCCCAACCATTGTCTGCGACACCCGTCCTGGTTTTGCTTTTGAGACGACCCCTCCTACCTGTTTGTATTTATAGTGATAGTGAGACTCCATGGCAGCTAATCCTTCATAGTTTCAGTATTAAAGTTATTATATTTTTTACGTCAGCTTTTCTAATGCAGCTAAGTTTAATGTCAAAATGGGCATTTAGAAAGTGTCCTTTATAATACAATATCATCACACACTAATTTGCATAAGGCCATGGTCTGTTCCATATAAAATCCACATTGCTCATTTCTGCACTTATCTCTCCTCAGTGAAATCCTTTTTCTACGTTTCCTATTTCCCTACCACTGAGACTGTAGTTAGGCCGAACTTTGTCTAACAGATATTTCACACTTTCACATATTAACTACATAAATTGTAGATATAAATGAGAAAAAACAGGGTTTGTTCATATTTCCGACAGCACTTTAGCTGCAAAGTACCTTTCAAAACTTAAACGTCGTTTCTATTGCGCGTTCACTTATTTCAGGAAAGCCTTTCACTTTGTTGATAGACAAAAACTCGTGTATGTGCTGTTTAACAAGGGATGTCGATATAAAATATTCAGTTTCCTTAAAAAACATGTATGAATCTGTTAAAGCTTGAGGGTGGTCTAACGTCTTCTTTCAAATCAACTTGTGGCGTCAGACATGGCTGTGTCCTGAGTCCAGTGTTATTCATCTTCTTTATTAATGAACTTGTCTCGCAAATGTATGCAAATTGTGAAAGTGGTATTTTTGTTTTCTCAGCACATTGAAGACATTGTCTTATTACTGTTCGCTGATGATCATGTTTCAACGTTTGCCTACACTGTGGTTGGTTTGCAAAAACAGCTTGATGTGGCCTATGCTTTCTGTCAGAAGTCGGGACTTCAGTTGTTATCACGAAATGCCCGTGCATCAGATGCACCCGTCCATTCCCGTTTCTCCCGTGCGCCCCTCCGCGTCAATTGTCAGCAATCATGATTATATTGATGATTGTTTGTTACACAACTTATTCTGTGATGCATAACAATTTCTAATAGCTGAAAAGGTGTTTGGGTATAGGTTATACATGAACATCTTGCCTCGTAATATTTATTAACATGCCTTTCAAAACTGATATATTTAGTAATTCATAGGGACAGTGTCTAGTCAAACAGACTGTACATATGTTCTTCCTGTCACGTGTTACGACTATGTCGTCGCAATCAATTGTACTTTGGGCCACATGGCCAAAATACCTAATAAATGAATTGAATTGAATTGAATCTCCGTGGAGTAGTGTATAGAGCGTCTATGGGAGGTCGTTGTTTCAATCTGCTGTCGCCTCTGAAGATGAAGGTCAGTGCTTGTAGTCCAGGCGTGTCGGGCTTAGACAGGTGCTTGTTGTCACCCTCTCGGCGCTCGGCACTGATGGGTGGAAGATGTACTGATGTACTGATGTACTGATCGGACTATAGCGTGTCTGGATGGGGTACCCATGCCCATCAATGTACATCGTTAAGTTAGCTATAGGGCTGAGAACAAGCGCACGCACATACACACACCACAGACACCAGGCACATACACGCGCACAAACACGCTCACACATACGCACGCGGCTCTGATAAGTGCAATAACACGGATACATTTCACCTTGCCACGCCTCCTCGTACACACTACAGCTTTGGTTCAACGTGCTTGTGTTGAAACTGGTGGGGTTTTGATCAAACGTTTACAGTCAGTTTCAAGGGAGACCAGTATAATTCAGATTATTCAGAACAGCAAAATATCGAGTTGATTCAGTCAGTCACTAACTCACTCACCCTACCCACCCTTCCTCCTTCACTCACTCATTCACTCACTTGTCCAACCCTCCCTTCTTCCTTCACTCACTCATTCATTGACTCACTCACTCATCCCACCCTCCCTTACTCCTTCACCCACTCATTCATTGACTCACTCACTCATCCCAGCCTTCCTTCCTCCTTCATTCACTCATTCATTCACTCACTCACTCATCCCACCCTCCCTTACTCCTTCACCCACTCATTCATTCACTCACTCATCCCAGCCTTCGTTCCTCCTTCATTCACTCATTCATTCACTCACTCACTCATCCCATCCTCCCTTCCTCCTTCATTCACTCATTCATTCACTCACTCAATCATCCCACCCTCCCTTCCTCCTTCACTCATTCATTCATTCACTCACTCAGCCCACCTCCCTTACTCCTTCACCCACTCATTCATTGACTCACTCACTTATCCCAGCCTTCCTTTCTCCATCATTCACTCATTCATTCACTCACTCAGTCACTCAATCATCCCACCCTCGCTTCTTCACTCATGCATTCACTCACTCACGCACTCATTCATTCATGCACTCACTCATCCCACCCTCCCTTCCTCCTCCTTCACCCACTCATTCATTCACTCACTCGCTCATCCCACCTCCCTTCCTCCTCCTTCATTCACTCATTCATTCACTCACTCATCCCAACTCCCTTTCTCCTTCAGTCACTCAATCATCCCATCCTCCCTTCTTCCTTCACTCACTCATTCATTCACTCACTCAGTCACTCACTCATTCCACTCCCCTTCCTCATTCACTCACTCATTCATTGACTCACTCATTCACCTGACATTTTCTTGCAGTGGTATTTGACAACCCTACCGTGATCCCCCCAAGGTCGGACAACACGAGCTGGGTGCTTGGCAACCCCATGCAGTACGGCTACTACCGCGTCAACTACGACGCGGCCAACTGGGTGGCTCTGATTAACCAGCTGAAGATGGATCACTCGGTGAGAACCAGCTGGACTGTTTGTTTGTTTGTTTGTTTGAGACCACAACCAACAATAACCCAGTTATACCACGGCGTCCTGTGGAACAACTGTGTCAGACAAACTAGTGGTTGATATTATGACGACACAATCAGGTACGATGACACACAACAGAAGTTGTTTTGCTAAGATTGGTACAACAACAATATACGTTAGCACGTGTCAACGGGAGATGCGTCAAGAACAATTTCAGGAAATTATTTTGACATTTTCGTTTTCAGAAATCAGAGCGGGAAATAGATATATATAGATTTGAGGCTTCCATCTTTAAAACATGAAGTATAGTGGTTGTGTTTGTTGACAGTTTACCGACAGCTACAGAGACATATCCACAAGAATGTGATAATTAAGGAAATATCAGATTTGGTCGGTTATAATTAAGGAATGATTCCCATGACGCTCTTGTTTGTCTGAATGGAGAAGATACAGAACCAAACATGAGGGGGCGTTGTCAAGTTTGGTCAGTGGTTTCAAAAAATTAAAGGCCTGAAAACCACCCTAACCCTCTCTTGTGATTAGCCTTTCCGACGCTGGTATTTCAAATTGAAAAGCCTGACACTTCAATGTTACCTTCAGATTTCTGTTTTAGTATCACACACGGGTGATCAACGTTGGGGACTTTACTTACCCCGACTTATATTTCGGTGAATTGCCAGCAAGCTGTGTTATATAGTACGACCTGGGGTATCTTATGGGGCCTGGGAGAGAGTGAGTGAGTGTGTGACGTTTTCGTCGCATTAGCCAATATTAGAGCTATATCACAGCGGGGGACACCAGATATGTGCTGCGGATACTGTACCCATGAAGGGAATCGAACCAGGGTCTTCGGCGTGAAGAGCGAAAGCTTTAACAACTAGGCTACCCAACCGCTCCGTGGGAGAGAGCGTGTTTGAGCTTTTGAACATTCTATCCTTCGAGTGACGAGCGGACACGACCGGCATTGTGAGATATTGTTGTGAGGTTCTGATAAACTACATGGAGACAGATCTTTATGGTTTTCTCTCTTCTTGCAGCAAATCCACGCAATCAACAGAGCGCAGATTATTAACGACGCCTGGAGTTTGGCCAAGTGAGTTCACACCACGTATTTACTATGTGCTAGCGGGGATACGATGGTCACAGTCCAGTGCGTGTGTGAGTTCAGTTTTACGCCTCTTTTAGCAATATTCCAGCAATATCACGGCAGGGGACACCAGAAATGGGCTTTACACATTGTACTTAGGTGGGGAATTGAACCCGGATTTTCATCTTGGTGTCCCCGCCGTGGTATTGCTGGATAATGCTAAAAGCGGCATAAAACTAAACTCACTCACGTTATGCATCAGTGCGTTGATAGACAGCATGTCATTGATACTGTAAGTGGACGACCTCCTGAGAGGGTACGTAAGTCCCAACACATTTAGAGCAAATTTAGGCTTGCCACGTTTTTAATCGTAGAATATGTTTGCTTTTAATTTATGGCTAGATTTCTCTTCTGTCGCCAATGGCTGAAGGGATGTTGTAAATACAACTAGGGTCCATGCAGGTAGCAAAAGTAATGTCAGTCCCCATGGTCCCTGGTATGGTGATCTGCCTTCAGTTATTGGCGATTTATAGCCCATTTTTATACTGTATTGTTTTTCCCCTATAGTTAAAACGTTTTAGATTTAATTACTAGTTTTACATACATATCTGTGATATTCTAGTTGTTTTGCTGTCCTTCGTCGGCAGGTTTTTTATAATATACATATATTTCATTTCAATATCAAATGTTCTCGTCACGATATGGCTGAAATATTGCCGATGTGACGTTAAATATTAACTCACTCACTCACTGTAAGTGGACGACGTGGGACGCTGATCATAACATCAATCACTGGATTATCTGATTCATACGGGATTTGATTGTCGATGTGAGACGTTAGCGGGGTGAGGGGTACTTGTAGCTGCCTATGTCTGTCTCAGAGCTGGGCTGGTGTCTCAAGATGTCGCTCTGCGGACGGTGGAGTATCTGGACGGCGAGCTGGAGTACATCCCTTGGGCGGCGGCTAATCGACAGCTGGGATACGTAGACACCATGCTGACCAAGACAGGGCTGTACGGGGCATTTGCGGTGAGTGATTGGGTGGGCGAGTAAGTGAGAGACTGCGTGTGTGAGTGAGAGAGTGAGTGGGTGGATGATTGGTTGGGTGAGTGAGTGGGTCGGTGGGTGGGTAAGTGAGTGGGTGGATGAATGGTTGAGGTGAGCGAGTGGGTGAGTGAGAGTGGGTGGGTGTGGGTAATGAGACCTGAGTGAGTGGGCGGAGTGGGCGGGTAAGTGGTTGGGACCTGCGTGTGTGAGTGAGAGTAAGTGAGTGGGTGGATGAATGGTTGGGTGAGTGAGTGGGTCGGTGGGCGGGTAAGCGAGTGAGTAAGAGCCTGCGTGAGTGAGTGAGTGGGTGGTTTTGATGAGCCAATGAGAGACTGCGTGAGTAAGTGAGGAAAGAAACTATCGGTTAGGATGGCTAATGACTGTGATAGAGGGTGGATTATTGTTTTGAGAGAGCGAGGAGTTGAGTGAGTGAGTGAAATGAAGCCAAGTGACCGGTTATTAGGCTGACATGTCTGGAACCGTCACGGCATATAGGATTCGGTAGAGTGAAGCGCACGTAAATTCTTTTCAAGTGCGCGAAACACTTCTTTTGAGCGGCATCCAACTTTGCAACACAATATCCAACCACTGGAAATATGCTGTATCGCGCCAACATTGTCGTGACATAAACACCTGAAATTAGTTTGCTGACAAATTGTAGCCACACTTCAAACAACACAAGTATTACATTTAAGTGTTCAACCGGAAGTTGCGGAAGACATGGATGTGTCACAGGCGATAGGGATCTCATTTTGTAATATAACTCTCGCGTGTACGTGACCGTGAGCGTGAGCGTGTGCGTGTGCGTGTGCGTGTGCGTGTGCGTGCCTCAGCCCCATCTCATCTTCCTGTCATATACAGTACTTGACAGCTGTGCTATTTACACCAGGGCGGGTTGTAATGTGGAGAGTAATATATTTTAATCGTTGGTACATGAATGCAGAAAGGATTTCTTGTCGAGTCAAATACCATGACAGCTATTCATTCATTCATTCATTCATTCATTCACAATACTTATGTGTGTTGCCAGGCTTTCATGAAGGCGAAGGTTCAGACGTCATTTAACATCCTCGGAATGAACAACACAGGAGCCTCGCATCTGGAATCGTAAGTTGAACACTGTCTTCCTGGCAGGTACACCACAGGTACACCACAGGAACACCACCAGGGTGTGGGTATACTGAACACTGTCTTCCTGGCAGGTACACCACAGGTACACCACAGGTACACCACCAGGGTGTGGGTTTACTGAACACTGTCTTCCTGGCAGGTACACCACAGGTACACCACCAGGGTATGGGTTTACTGAACACTGTCTTCCTGGCAGGTACACCACAGGTACACCACCAGGGTGTGGGTTTACTGAACACTGTCCTGTGCTGTAGCCGCCAGGAAGGGGTTTTACTGAACACTGTGTTGTACCTGTCACAGACTGGGCTCCTTCTCCAAAGTGATTGCCTTGTGATCGGGGTCCTGGCAGTCATTGGAGATTAGGAATCTACAGAAATTCATCAATTCTGATTGTTTCGTTGAGGGCACGTGTACGCTGTTGGTCCGTTGTTTATATGTGTTACCCGTGAAGATCCGGGATATAATCGGTCTCTAGCAACCCACGCTTGTCTACACCCGTGAAGATCCGGGATATAATCGGTCTCTAGCAACCCACGCTTGTCTACACCCGTGAAGATCCGGGATATAATCGGTCTCTAGCAACCCAGGCTTGTCGTAAGAGGCGACTAAGGGGATCAGGTGGTCAGGCTCGCAGACTTGGTTGACACATGTCATCGTATCCCAAGATCGATGCTCATGCTGTTGACCGCTGGATTGTCTGGTCCAGACTCAATTATTTACAGACCGCCGCCGCCATATAGCAGGAATGTTGATGAGTGCGGCGTAAAACAACATACAAAGAACAGAAAAAACCCATTTGTGTGGATATTCATGACATGTGTAGCAGAAGTAAGTAGTCGTTGTCATCGTGACTGTCGCTGCTGCTGCAGATACATCCGGTCCCTTATATCCAAGTTAGCGTGTGACTACGGAATCCAAGCCTGCACTGACGAGGCGCTGAGGCTGTTCCGACAATGGATAAACACCCCAGCAAACAACCCGTAAGTACAGCTGCCCTGTGAAAGTACTTTAATTATCCACGAGTCTACACGGTGGATGACGCTGAGTTGGTGAGTGAGTGAGTGGAGAAGAGGGATAGGTAGATCAGTGAGTAATGTAAAGTGAGTGAGTGGGTGGAATGATGAGTGAGTGAGTGGAGTAGAGCGGGTGGGTAGATGAGAGGAATGTAGAGTGAGTGAGTTGATGGTTGGGTGGGTGGGTGGGCAGATGAGTGAGTGAAATAAAGCGGATGGGTAGATGACTGAGTAATGTAAAGTGAATGAGTGAGTTGGCGGTTGGTTGGATGGTAGATGAGAGAGTGAGTGAGTTAGTGGTTGGGTGGATGGATTAGTGAGTGAGTGAGTGAACGGGGTAAAGCAGATGAGTATATGAGTGAGTAATGTAGAGTGAGTGAGTGGATGAGTAAGTGTCATCCTGTCAGATTGATGTGGCAAGAAAGTCTGATATGATGCAGTAGAAGATTATCGGGAATATTCAGGCATGAGACGCTGCCCTGACAATGGTGTGACATGTTCCTATCCCAGTGCAGACTTCCCCTGTATGTCAACTACTGATCATTCTCCTCCCCAGCATCGACCCTGGACTGAAGAGCACCGTCTACTGTACCGCCATCAAGTATGGTGGAGTGGCAGAGTGGGACTTTGCCTTCAAACAATACAAGACGGCGACAGTGGCGGCGGAATCGGCACGGCTGTTGTCCTCCATGGGATGTTCACGGGAACCCTGGATTCTTAGTCGGTAGGACTGACTGTACTGTAAAACTGTTACACCTTTACTACCATCAGCACATCCACTGTAACGCCATCCGAACAAGCACAACCACTGCAACACGTCAATACAAGCACAAACACTGCAACACCGTCAATACAAGCACAAACACTGCAACACCGTCAATACAAGCACAAACACTGCAACACCGTCAATACAAACACAAACACTGCAACACCGTCAATACAAGCACAAACACTGCAACACCGTCAATACAACACAATACAAACAAACACTGCAACACCGTCAATACAAACACAAACACTGCAACACCGTCAATACAAGCACAAACACTGCAACACCGTCAATACAAGCACAAACACTGCAACACCGTCAATACAAACACAAACACTGCAACACCGTCAATACAAACACAAACACTGCAACACCGTCAATACAAGCACAAACACTGCAACACCGTCAATACAAGCACAAACACTGCAACACCGTCAATACAAGCACAAACACTGCAACACCGTCAATACAAAACACAAACACTGCAACACCGTCAATACAAACACAAACACTGCAACACCGTCAATACAAGCACAAACACTGCAACACCGTCAATACAAGCACAAACACTGCAACACCGTCAATACAAGCACAAACACTGCAACACCGTCAATACAAACACAAACACTGCAACACCGTCAATACAAGCACAACCACTGCAACACCGTCAATACAAGCACAAACAGTGCAACATCGTCAATACAAGCACAAACACTGCAACATCGTCAATACAAGCACAAACACTGCAACACCGTCAATACAAACACAAACAGTGCAACACCGTCAATACAAACACAAACAGTGCAACACCGTCAATACAAACACAAACAGTGCAACACCGTTAATACAAACACAAACACTGCAACACGTCAATACAAGCACAAACACTGCAACACCGTCAATACAAGCACAAACACTGCAACACCGTCAATACAAACACAAACACTGCAACACGTCAATACAAGCACAAACACTGCAACACCGTCAATACAAGCACAAACACTGCAACACCGTCAATACAAGCGTCAACCACTGCAACACCGTCAATACAAACACAAACCCTGCAACACCGTCAATACAAACACAAACCACTGCAACACCGTCAATACAAGCACAAACAGTGCAACACCGTCAATACAAACACAAACACTGCAACACCGTCAATACAAGCACAAACACTGCAACTCCGTCAATACAAGCACAAACACTGCAACACCGTCAATACAAACACAAACACTGCAACACCGTCAAATACAAACACAAACACTGCAACACCGTCAATACAAGCACAAACCGCTGCAACTCCGTCAATACAAGCACAAACACTGCAACACAACGTCAATACAAAGCACAAACACTGCAACACCGTCAATACAAACACAAACACTGCAACACCGTCAATACAAACACAAACACTGCAACTCCGTCAATACAAGCACAAACACTGCAACACCGTCAATACAAGCACAAACACTGCAACTCCGTCAATACAAGCACAAACACTGCAACACCGTCAATACAAACACAAACACTGCAACACCGTCAATACAAGCACAACCACTGCAACACCGTCAATACAAGCACAAACAGTGCAACATCGTCAATACAAGCACAAACACTGCAACACATCGTCAATACAAGCACAAACACTGCAACTCCGTCAATACAAAAACACAAACAGTGCAACACCGTCAATACAAACACAAACAGTGCAACATCGTCAATACAAACACAAACAGTGCAACATCGTCAATACAAACACAAACACTGCAACACCGTCAATACAAGCACAAACACTGCAACACCGTCAATACAAGCACAAACACTGCAACACCGTCAATACAAACACAAACAGTGCAACACACGTCAATACAACACCGCACAAACAAACTGCAACACCGTCAATACAAGCACAAACACTGCAACACCGTCAATACAAGCACAACCACTGCAACACCGTCAATACAAACACAAACACTGCAACACCGTCAATACAAACACAACCACTGCAACACCGTCAATACAAGCACAAACAGTGCAACACCGTCAATACAAACACAAACAGTGCAACACCGTCAATACAAGCACAATCACTGTAACACCGTCAATACAAACACAAACACTGTAACACCGTCAATACACCGTCAATACAAACACAAACAGTGCAACACCGTCAATACAAACACAAACACTGCAACACCGTCAATACAAGCACAATCACTGCAACACCGTCAATACAAACACAAACACTGCAACACCGTCAATACAAACACAAACACTGCAACACCGTCAATACAAACACAAACACTGCAACACCGTCAATACAAACACAAACACTGCAACACCGTCAATACAAACACAAACACACTGCAACACCATCAATACAAACACACAAACACTGCAACACCGTCAATACAAGCACAACCACTGCAACACCGTCAATACAAGCACAAACACTGCAACACCGTCAATACAAGCACAAACACTGCAACACCGTCAATACAAGCACAAACCGTCACTGTAACACCGTCAATACAAGCACAACCACTGCAACTCAATACAAGCACAAACACTGCAACAACACGTCAATACAAGCACAAACACTGCAACAACCAACCACTGCAAATCAATGCAAACACAAACACTGCAACACCGTCAATACAAGCACAAACACTGCAACACCGTCAATACAAACACAAACACTGCAACACCGTCAATACAAGAGCACAAACACTGCAACAATACAAATACAAACACTGCAACACCGTCAATACAACACAACCACTGCAACACCGTCAATACAAACACAAACACTGCAACACCCGTCAATACAAATACAACCACTGCAACACCGTCAATACAAGCACAAACACTGCAACACCGTCAATACAAACACACAAACACTGCAACACCGTCAATACAAACACAAACACTGCAACACCGTCAATACAAACACAAACACTGCAACACCGTCAATACAAACACAAACACTGCAACACCGTCAATACAAACACAAAACACTGCAACACCGTCAATACAAGCACAACCACTGCAACACCGTCAATACAAACACAAACACTGCAACACCGTCAATACAAGCACAAACACTGCAACACCGTCAATAATACAAGCACAAACAATAAGCACAAACACCGCAACACCGTCAATACAAACACAAACTTTCACAAACCCTGCAGCACCGTCAATACAAGCACAAACACTGCAACACCGTCAATACAAGCCGCACAAACACTGCAACACCGTCAATACAAGCACAAACACTGCAACACCGTCAATACAAACACAAACCACTGCAACACCGTCAATACAAAACACAAACACTGCAACACCGTCAATACAAACACAACCACTGCAACACCGTCAATGCAAACACAAACGGTGCAACACCGTCAATACAAACACAACCACTGCAACACCGTCAATACAAGCACAAACACTGCAACACCGTCAATACAAGCACAACCACTGCAACACCGTCAATACAAACTGCACAAACACTGCAACACCGTCAATACAAGCACAAACACTGCAACACCGTCAATACAAGCACAATCAAGCGCAACACCGTCAATACAAGCACAAACACTGCAACACCGTCAATACAAGCACAAACACTGCAACACCGTCAATACAAGCACAAACACTGCAACACCGTCAATACAAGCACAAACACTGCAACACCGTCAATACAAGCACAACCACTGCAACACCGTCAATACAAGCACAAACACTGCAACACCGTCAATACAAGCACAAACCACTGCAACACCGTCAATACAAACACAAACACTGCAACACCGTCAATACAAACACAATCACTGCAACACCGTCAATACAAACATCGTCAATACAAGCAAACACTGCAACACCGTCAATACAAGCACAAACACTGCAACACCGTCAATACAAAGCACAAACACTGCAACACCGTCAATACAAACACAAACACTGCAACACCGTCAATACAAACACAAACACTGCAACACCGTCAATACAAGCACAAACACTGCAACACCGTCAATACAAACACAAACACTGCAACACCTTCAATACAAGCACAAACACTGCAACACCGTCAATACAAGCACAATCACTGCAACACCGTCAATACAAACACAAACACTGCAACACGTCAATACAAGCACAAACACTGCAACACCGTCAATACAAGCACAAACACTGCAACACCGTCAATACAAGCACAAACACTGCAACACCGTCAATACAAGCACAAACACTGCAACACCGTCAATACAAGCACAAACACTGCAACATCGTCAATACAAGCACAAACACTGCAACACCGTCAATACAAGCACAAACACTGCAACACCGTCAATACAAGCACAAACACTGCAACACCGTCAATACAAGCACAAACACTGCAACACCGTCAATACAAAGCACAAACACTGCAACACCGTCAATACAAGCACAAACACTGCAACACCGTCAATACAAGCACAAACACTGAAACTCCGTCAATACTTACAATAGACACACACCCTATACATCACAGCTATATACAGCCAGGCTCATTAGAAATATACCCCCACCCGAGATACTGCCACACGAGATACTGCCACCCGAGATACTGCCACACCATTGTCAGGTTGACTACACTGCTATCCCGACCATACTGACAGACACATTCACTTCTAGCCCACCATAGTGCCACACCCACCATACTGACACATTCACTGGCCCACCATTGTGCCACACCCACCATTCCAAACCCTCCAATGGCCCACCATGGTGCCACACCCCACCATACTGCCACAATCACTTCTGGCCCACCATTGTGCCACACCCACCATAGTGCCAAACCCTCCAATATAACAATCACTTCTGGCCCACCATTTGTGCCACACACACCATGTGCCACACCCACCATAGTGCCAACCCTCCAATATAACCACACCCATCATAGCGCCACGCCCACCATAGTGCCACACCCACCATAGCGCCACTTCCACCATATACTAATGGTACACTATTACGGACGATCTGTCTGCTCCTGTTTACAGATTCCTGAACAGAGCTTTGATGCCAGAGGAAATCCGGAAGCAGGACGCCCTGAATGTACTGGTGTATGTGTCCCGGAACTCTATAGGGCAGGGTATTGCATGGGACTTCTTCAGGAACAGATGGGACACCATCAGGAACGAGTGAGTACGACATGGGGACTGTAGTGTATGTGTCCCGGAACTCTATAGGGCAGGGCATTGCATGGGACTTCTTCAGGAACAGATGGGACACCATCAGGAACGAGTGAGTACGACATGGGGGACTGTAGTGTATGTGTCCCGGAACTCTATAGGGCAGGGTATTGCATGGGACTTCTTCAGGAACAGATGGGACACCATCAGGAACGAGTGAGTACGACATCGGGGACTGTAGTGTATGTGTCCCGGAACTCTATAGGGCAGGGTATTGCATGGGATTTCTTCAGGAACAGATGGGACACCATCAGGAACGAGTGAGTACGACATCGGGGACTGTAGTGTCTATGCCACATCAGTTAATCCTGCCGTCAAGGTGTTCACATGTACCTCACGCATACACGGCATACGTCAGAGACATGTAACACAGACAGAGGAGCAGACTCGTAATTGTCAAAAGCGAAAGTAAATTCACAGTCAAAACGTAAGTAAATAGCCGTTTGTATTAGGGTGCAACCTGGATGGGACGGAATCCCAAAATACTAACTATCTGTACTTCACTGGCACAGGGTCATTCCCAATATAACATATGTTACATTTGACCACTTTCTAACAGGCATTTCATTGCTTCCGGTCTGGACACCAGTTGTCAGACTTGTTGCTTTGTGGAGGCCGTGCTAGGCTAGATCCCTGAGTGGGCTTGATCCCAAACAGTTTTGCATTGGAAAAACACAAACATCTCTTTTAAACAAATACCGTATTTCCTCTAAGCGCCGGGAGTAATGAGTCGGGTAGGTTTCTTATAAATGTATTCTCCCTTCATCCAAAAATAGATTTGTTAAGGAATGGTCCCTTAAGTCATAACTTCCTGGCCTCGACATACCACGATTGATGGATATTATGTAATCGTTGCATTTGGGAGGCGTATTTAAAGTTCGGATTCCTACAGGTGCCTCATATCTCCAGGATTCCTACAGGTGCCTCGTATCTCTGTCAACGAAGCGCAATAAGCGACGGGTCTGCAATAAGCGTCTGGTCTCTTAAAAGCGCCGGGTCTGGAAGCGATTAAAAAATAAGCGCCCTTGTGCTTATTAGAGAAAATACGGTCCCCCGAATGCACCTGGATGCAATGTGTGAAGACCAACTCTGGTCTGACCGTCGTGACAATGCTGGAATATGGCTACAAGCGGCATCACATAGCACTCGCTAATGTCTGTGTTTCTTCTTCTGCAGGTATGGCACAGCATTCTTCGCCTTCACTCGTCTGATTGGAGGAATCACAGAATCATTTAACACACCCTTCCAGTTGAAACAGGTTGGAAAACTTAACATAATTCCGCTTGATTTAAAATGATTAAATGTTAATATTCCACGAGTTTGAGCCCGGGAGTAAATTCACGTATAGTACATATGATTCTCGACCGGGTGAACGGCCACCTGAAACTACCCAGGTGTTCTACAGAGAAATCGCTTCAGTCGTAACATTTGGACAAGGTAAACAGTAGGGCCGGGGCGGGTCCAAATGTTCTACCGGTGTACCCCACCCTAAAAACCCTACCCGGATACCCGTTATTTAAATTCCTGACATCAAATTTGCAAGAAATGGCAATATATTCTTCAGCTCGGAGGCTAAAATTCCAATATCAATATCTTAACCATGTATTATATTAAAAAAGTAAATTATGTCTAAATCTTCAAATGCAATACAACCTTTTAATCAAGAAAGAATATAAACATATTACATTGTTTAATCTGTTAGTCACATGAGCATAACGGGTCCGGGTATTGAGACGGGTACCCGGGTCCAACCCATTACCCACCCGTCCTGTGTATCCGGGTTACCCGTCCCACCCGTCAACAGGCGGGTATATTCCAGGCTAACTACTCAATCCACACCTAATCACGATAACAAATCAAAACATGTTGAAGTTGAACTTCATCTTACAGTGGTAAAACCTGTTAGAATTGAAACAAAGCAAAGTCATTGTACGTCTTTATATTCAGGCCTTATAACTCTAGCATAATTCATTCATTATTATATTTTTCTGCACTTTGGAGCTCCATAAACGAATAGTGAATTCATAAGATAACTGTCATATCTACATATTTTATATGTGTAGGATAAAGCACGACTCCGAGGTTATGGTTGGGAAAGTAAGACCCGAGACCGGAGGGTGGGGAGAAGTAAGACCGAGAGCGCGTAGCGAGGTCTTACTTCTCTCCACCCGATGGTCGAGGGCTTACTTTCCCAACCATAACCTAGGAGGAGTGCTTTATTATACATATAAACCGTCAATGATGGATAATTAGATGATCATGTAATGAAGCTACATAACAGTAACTGAAGCGCTAGTAAAATCAATTGAATGACAGTAGGCCTAACTATAAATAGATAATTCAACCCTTGTTCTTTGACGGCCTGGTGGCTGTGAGGTACAGCGTCCGCTTATGAATCTGAAATATACAATTCCAATCCTGCTAGGGAAAACATTTGCACATTTAAGTTGATCTTTGACGATATTTTTCAATTGATTTCAAAACACTCACATATAATTTGAATGTTGATGTTAATATAGAATTAGGAAAAAGTAAAACCTGGGAAGAGGTCTTACTTACAAAAGTAAAACCGGGAAATAGGTTTTACTCACAAAAGGTAAAACCTGAGAGCAAACAAAAACCTCAAGTGCGGTTATTCCGGGAAAAGAAGCCATGTTTAATATATAGTGAGAAGCACCCTTCAGGTTTATATATGTCCTAAATGAATCGTATTTCACATACACAGGTCCTAAGTACGACCTAGTGGATATTGTCACTCTCGCATCGAAGAACTTCCCGGCATACAACAAATTAATAACAAGAAAATACAAATATCAAAATTTAAACCGACAAAAGTTATAAAGTCCTGTGGTTTTGTCGAGGATACAGCTCCGCAGTAAATCATGAAAGGTTGCTGATTGCTGCATAACGCAATATTCCGACGGTCACGCACGTGAAACTCTTGAAAATTTAAATTTTTGTTTCAGCTTCAGACGTTTGTGGACACGCATCCCGACCAGGGTTCCGGCAAGCGGGCCTTTGACCAGGCCATCGAGAAGACAAACGCTAACATCAAGTGGATGGACGCCAATCTGATGAGTGTCAGACGTGGCTTAGAGACCAGGGGCTCTACAACGAATAGAGAGTAATGCCTATCTAACATGGATTTCGAGACTTTGGAGGGGGTTTTGCTGGCCCCGGTGTAAATTCAAATATGAAATTACGATAATTTCGACTGGGAACAAATCTTGAAATGTTGGGAAAATACGATGATATATTTTTTACACTCTATCGCACGTATATTCATAATTAGTCCCGGAAATATTGGGCTAACATCTTCACCAGTAGCCTGATTAGCCCTCCGAATGTGCCACATGTAATGTCGTAAAAGTCACATAATTGAAGAAGTTACCGATGCTCTTATAAGTTATGCATTATTGTCCAGTACGCATTGAGATCAGTGTGCGAAATAGCCACTGGTCCGATTGGCTAGTAAATTTCCAAGCGATCATTTTTTAAATATATTACTTTCACAGACTTGTTAAGTTATAATACACTTTTAAATCATGCAGGATTATGGCCTGATGAATAATGGTATTTTACCCTTTTGTAATCTTTTGCTTAGCTTCTACATTCAAATTTCGGGCTAGTGAATTATTTTGTGGGCTAGTAATTTTCAGGCATAGCTAGCCCGACTGGCTTGTAAAATTTGGAAAGTATTTCGCACACTGATTGAGATGCATTTTCAGGGGTTTACCTTCTCCTCTATGGGTCCAGAGGACTTCTCCCCTCCCCACACGCAATAGATCATTTTATGGTTCCTAATGAAATGGTGTGATTTAATGGAAGATATAACCAGGGACCTTATATTTCTTGTCAAGACTTTTACACAACGACAATTACTGTGCATCCCTCGGGACACAATACAACTATTTTGTTTTGAGTCCATTCTATACAGTTGTGTATTGGACGCACGTTTCTGCGTAAAACCCTGAAGTTAAAGTAATGTCGGACTCATGGAGTGTCAGCACAGACTGTTTTCCTGGATACGTTGCGCGACCGCTTCACTGAGTCGCCAGCGCAGCATACCTGGAGAACCAGACGAATGTCCCCAGCGCTTCACGCAGACACGTGTGGTACCTGAGTTCAAGTTCTGAGTATAATTAGGTGGACCGTGTGATGTACAGTTTTATATATTCAAGGCTTAAAGATATTCTCTATATATCAAACTATTTTGTAAAAGATAGAAAAACGTTTTTTATAACATTGATTATTCAGTATTTTTACAAACTGTTGTTATAAACATTGTTCATATTAAATACGAGTTTATAAAATACAATGGGTATTCAAGAGTGGTGTTTACAATACGGATAATGAAATATAAGCCAAAACAGAATGGGTTTCAGACGTCTCACCTGTAACATGTTTGTATACGGTATATTTTCATTTCGTTATGTTTTGTGCGGAGCTGTAGTTTCTGAGTGGAAAGTTTTGTGCGGAGCTGTAGTTTCCGTGTGGAAGGTTTTGTGCGGAGCTATAGTTTCCGTGTGGAAGGTGTTGTGCGGAGCTGTAGTTTCCGTGTGGGAGGTTTTGTGCGGAGCTGTAGTTTCCGTGTGGAAGGTTTTGTGCGGAGCTATAGTTTCCGTGTGGAAGGTGTTGTGCGGAGCTGTAGTTTCCGTGTGGAAGGTTTTGTGCGGAGCTATAGTTTCCGTGTGGAAGGTGTTGTGCGGAGCTGTAGTTTCCGTGCGGAAGGTGTTGTGCGGAGCTGTAGTTTCCGTGTGGAAGGTTTTGTGCGGAGCTGTAGTTTCCGTGTGGCAGGTTTTGCTCAGAATGTTTGCAAAGCCACAACAGTCAGTTACCGTCTGAACAGCTGTGTGTCACACACAAGCGCGCGTTGCTGACAGGGACCAGGGTGCATGTGTACCGCGGTCACCTGACGTTAAACATAGTCCCAGTAGTTAATGTATCTTCTCACGCAAAATATACATAATACAATAACACAATACAATAACACGATACAACACCAGCCAGAACAGTTCATAATTTCAAGATTTTTGACAAAACCATTTACATTAATAACATTGCGAGATATCTGGAGTAGGCTACCATACATTCATCTGTACCTGTGTCACATAGCTGGAATATTGCTGAGTGCGGCGTAAAGCTAAACTCACCCACTCACTATCTGTACCTGTGTCATATAGCTGGAATATTGCTGAGTGCGGCGTAAAGCTAAACTCACCCACTCACTCTCTGTACCTGTGTCATATAGCTGAAATATTGCTGAGTGCGGCGTAAAGCTAAACTCACCAACTCACTATCTGTACCACCGTCATATAGCTGGAATGTTGCTGAGTGTGGCGTAAAGCTAAACTCACTCACCCACTCACTATCTGTACCTGTGTCATATACCTGTGTCATATAGCTGGAATATGGCTGAGTGCGGCGTAAAGCTAAACTCACCCACTCACTATCTGTACCTGTGTCATATAGCTGGAATATGGCTGAGTGCGGCGTAAAGCTAAACTCACCCACTCACTATCTGTACCTGTGTCATATAGCTGGAATATGGCTGAGTGCGGCGTAAAGCTAAACTCACCCACTCACTATCTGTACCTGTGTCATATAGCTGGAATATGGCTGAGTGCGGCGTAAAGCTAAACTCACCAACTCACTATCTGTACCTGTGTCATATAGCTGGAATATGGCTGAGTGCGGCGTAAAGCTAAACTCACCCACTCACTATCTGTACCTGTGTCATATAGCTGGAATATGGCTGAGTGCGGCGTAAAGCTAAACTCACCCACTCACTATCTGTACCTGTGTCCTTATAGCTGGAATATGGCTGAGTGCGGCGTAAAGCTAAACTCACCCACTCACTATCTGTACCTGTGTCATATAGCTGCTGAAATATGGCTGAGTGCGGCGTAAAGCTAAACTCACCCACTCACTATCTGTACCTGTGTCATATAGCTGGAATATGGCTGAGTGCGGCGTAAAGCTAAACTCACCCACTCACTATCTGTACCTGTGTCATATAGCTGGAATATGGCTGAGTGCGGCGTAAAGCTAAACTCACCCACTCACTATCTGTACCTGTGTCATATAGCTGGAATATGGCTGAGTGCGGCGTAAAGCTAAACTCACCCACTCACTATCTGTACCTGTGTCATATAGCTGGAATATTGCTGAGTGCGGCGTAAAGCTAAACTCACCCACTCACTATCTGTACCTGTGTCATATAGCTGGAATATTGCTGAGTGCGGCGTAAAGCTAAACTCACCCTCACTCACTATATAGCTGTACCTGTGCCATATAGCTGGACCGACTCACTATCTGTACCTGTGCCATATAGCTGGAATATGGCTGAGTGCGACGTAAAGCTAAACTCACCCACTCACTATCTGTACCTGTGCCATATAGTGGAATATGGCTGAGTGTTGCGTAAAGCTAAACTCACCCACTCACTATCTGTACCTGTGTCATATAGCTGAAATATTGCTGAGTGCGGCGTATAGCTAAACTCACCCACTCACTATCTGTACCTGTGTCATATAGCTGGAATATTGCTGAGTGCGGCGTATAGCTAAACTCACCCACTCACTATCTGTACCTGTGTATATTCGTGAAGCAAAGAGATGCACGGACCATTGTGTCTTCCGTTAAAACACAGGGAGCCAGCAGCCCAAGTTTAGCGAAAACTACTGAAAACTATCTTAGCCTTGAGCTGAGACATTATAGTCTTGCATTATCATTATAGACTTGAGTTGGACTGTTTTAGAGTTTTTGTTTTGAGAAGAGGACGGGGTTGGGGAGACAGATTGCGCAGACACTGAACACTGCGAAAACCTTTTCCTGTAACGAAATGAAAAATGAAGAGTGAAAGCCATTGTCAGAACTTCACGGACGTGAAAGTACTTAACGAGCTTCAACCGTGAATACATGGTTTATGTCGGGTAGTACAATATTCTAGTTACATGGCGCCGTGTCATCTTATTGTGGCATGTCCTTCACGTCTGTGGAAACATAATGTAACTCCTGGAAGTCAAATTACCTAAGTTTCCGCATATGAAGTTTGTGCGAAGCCTGACAGCGCAGCAATGTGTTGAGGAGACAGCTGCCGGATGGAATCTGAGCATTGATTGGTCAGAGAGCTGACTGGTTTCTCTGTCACTGAATTAAGGCTGTTGCGAAAACTGTCTGTGGTTTGCCGGATGGAATCTTAGCCTTGATAGGTGAGTGAGCTGCTTGGCTTCTCTCTCGCTGAATAAGGGCCGTTACGAGAGTTGCCCGGTGAAATCTTAGCGCTGATTGGTCAGAGAGCAGCTTGGCTTCTATCTCTCACCGAATAACGACCTTTGCGAGAGCTGTCGTTTGTCCGATGAAATCTGAGCGCTGATTGGTCAGAGAACAGTGGCTTTCCTCGAGGCCGTGGCTTGATTTGTTAGATGAGATCGTGACAGCTGTGGGGCTGGATGTACTCACGGGCAATGAAGCAGGTACTACAGGGTTTAGTAACAGAGGAACGTTACGGCTGTCCAAGCCACAGCTTCCCCTCAACTCTCGTCGGTCTGTTATATTGAAATAAGTGATAGAGACAGTTCGAACCGAGAACATTATGTACCAGAGGCGGGTCCAGGAATTTTCAAAAAGTTGGGGGGTGGGGGTGTTCAGGGGGTACCCTCGGCTCTGCCAATGCTGGACAACAAACTCATACAGTTCCTTTCATATATATGTATAAAGTTGTCCTTCATTCTTTCTTCCCAAGAGTGGAAAGGGCAGAAGACGGAACAAACACACACGGCTTCGTTATTACACGCGTCCAGGATTGTAAGAAATCATTTACATTAATAACATTGCGAGACACTGGGAGTATCACACACCTATGTATATCTGTGTGTATCTGTGTGTAGGGGTGAAAAATTTGTCTTTACATAGTATAGTTTTATTGTATGTTCTCTTAGATGGGTTTATTTCCTGTTTATAAATAAATTCAATCCGTACACACATTAACAATGTAGTATGTGAAACAAGGCAAAGTTGTAAATACAAATGCACTTCCCCACCAGTCTTCATGCTATACATCACACAGACATGCTGGTATAGGTGGAAACATTTCACTTCTTCTCATTGTGCATCAATGCAACTGTTCCATTGTTTTTATTATCTGAAGAACCCAAAAGCAAAATGACGTCACATCATTGTTGCAAATAATTGCAGTTGACGTCATGCGTTGTTTATGACGCCAGATGCGATTTTATGAGAAGTCGTTCCAACTATAGTATAATTGAAGTCTTCGTTAGAGATCAGGTAGCCCACATTACTCGAAACAAACTTAGAGATCAGGTTCGAGCCCAGAGAATATACATTTAGCAGAATGAACTGAAATCACATTAAACTCATGAACAACTAGACAATTTGAATTGGTATGGATAACTTAAGTTGTTTGGGCTTTTTGATATAAATGCAGTTGAGTTGTAGCAGCAGATTGTCAAACGTTTGAAATTTGAGTAAAACTTAAGAATTCAAGAAATCCCTGCCAGTCTTACTCATCACCTCTCATGATACCAGTAAAAATTCCGACAGTATAGCTGAACGATTCTTGTATGAGTAGTCTATATACCAGTTATTCCCTGTATAGCTGAACTATTCTTGTATATGTACCAGTATTATTATAGCTGAAGATTATGGTTGTAGCTGCAATAATAGATATACAATTGACATTATTAATAACAGGTCGATATACCAGTTATTCCTGATAAGATACAAATTATGAGTAGGATTTAATAATATATTTAAGTATAGCTGAACGATTAATAACGAGTAAGGGTCAGGAAGTCAGTAGCCCTGAGGTAATAAACATGAAAGTAGGTCGTTAGAGCTGATGGGGGAGCAAGGTGACTCATTCTTTAGGTAGGGGAAAATATACCAGTTACACTATCAAGATTGAGCGGCGTGTCCGGGGACCTATATACCAGATCTTGGTACTATAACGATTCTTGTATGGTTAGGGTCTATATATCAGTTATTCCTGGAATACACCTCACGATTCTTGTATGGTAGTGGGGGTACCAGTTATATAGGTGGGGAGATAATAGATAGTCAGGTTATGGGTTATTGACCAATAGAAAACTGAAAAGGGTGCTGGCTGTGACGTAGGAACCCAGGTTTAAGCTGGGGCAAAGCTCAGAGACGAGAGAGTGGTGCGAGACCTCTGATTGTCACTAGCTTTCGTACTAAGAAACAAACTCAAAGCACTAGCATTTCGACTGAGACTGATACCAGTTATTCCCTGTATAGCTGAACGATTCTTGTATGAGTAGGGTCTATATACCAGTTATTCCCTGTATAGCTGAACGATTCTTGTATGAGTAGGGTCTATATACCAGTTATTCCCTGTACAGCTGAACGATTCTTGTATGAGTAGGGTCTATATACCAGTTATTCCCTGTATAGCTGAACGATTCTTGTATGAGTAGGGTCTATATACCAGTTATTCCCTGTATGAGTGAACGATTCTTGTATGAGTAGGGGTCTATATACCAGTTATTCCCTGTATAGCTGAACGATTCTTGTATGAGTAGGGTCTATATACCAGTTATTCCAGTTATTCCCTGTATAGCTGAACGATTCTTGTATGAGTAGGGTCTATATACCAGTTATTCCCTGTATAGCTGAACGATTCTTGTATGAGTAGGGTCTATATACCAGTTATTCCCTGTATAGCTGAACGATTCTTGTATGAGTAGGGTCTATATACCAGTTATTCCCTGTATAGCTGAACGATTCTTGTATGAGTAGGGTCTATATACCAGTTATTCCCTGTATAGCTGAACGATTCTTGTATGAGTAGGGTCTATATACCAGTTATTCCCTGTATAGCTGAACGATTCTTGTATGAGTAGGGTCTATATACCAGTTATTCCCTGTATAGCTGAACGATTCTTGTATGAGTAGGGTCTATATACCAGTTATTCCCTGTATAGCTGAACGATTCTTGTATGAGTAGGGTCTATATACCAGTTATTCCCTGTACAGCTGAACGATTCTTGTATGAGTAGGGTCTATATACCAGTTATTCCCTGTATAGCTGAACGATTCTTGTATGAGTAGGGTCTATATACTATATACCAGTTATTCCCTGTATAGCTGAATACCATTCTTGTATGAGTAGGGTCTATATACCAGTTATTCCCTGTATAGCTGAACGATTCTTGTATGAGTAGGGTCTATATACCAGTTATTCCCCCTGTATAGCTGAACGATTCTTGTATGAGTAGGGTCTATATACCAGTTATTCCCTGTATAGCTGAACGATTCTTGTATGAGTAGGGTCTATATACCAGTTATTCCCTGTATAGCTGAACGATTCTTGTATGAGTAGGGTCTATATACCAGTTATTCCCTGTATAGCTGAACGATTCTTGTATGAGTAGGGTCTATATACCAGTTATTCCCTGTATAGCCGAACCATTCTTGTATGAGAAAGGTCTCTATACCAGTTATTCCCTGTATAACTGAACAATTCTTGTATGAGTAAGGTCTATATACCTGTTATTCCCTGTAGAACTGAACAGTGTACTACTGATGGCAGCTCATTCCAAGTGTCCTGTAGATCAAGTTTTGACCATGAAAAAGACAAGAATAGATTACACTTCACTTTGAGTCTTGTGTATTTCTGCCTCAAATATTCAAGGAGGTTGACAAACAGCTTCTGTCCCTCACATGTAAGCTGTTGATTATGTTATACACACCATCTCTTGATATGCTTGGAAACTCGTGAATCGAAGGAGAGATATTTTGTAAGTTTAAGAATATCTATGCACAAGTCGATGAATATTTTGAAATAAAAGGATAAAACCGGAAGAAAGAGTGTCCTTGTAATGAAAAGTGTGATTCAGGATTCCATGTGCTGTACGGGTTACCAGTAAACCGTTTTTCTTGTTTAACGCTGCACTCGTATATGGCGGCAGTCTGGAAATAATTGAATCTGGACCAGACAATCTTATATACTGGGGTTCAACAGCATGACGATTGATCTAGGTAATTGGGATACGGTGAGATGAGTCAACCAAGCCAGCGAGCCTGACCGCCCGATCCCGTCAGTCGCGTCTTACGACAAGCATGGGTTACTGAAGACCATTTCTATCCCGGATCTTCATGGGTATAGACAAGCATGGGTTACTGAAGACCAATTCTAACCCGGATCTCCACGGGTAAAGACAAGCATGGGTTACTGAAGACCAATTCTAACCTGGATCTTCATGGGTATAGACAAGCATGGGTTACTGAAGACCAATTCTAACCCGGATCTTCACGGGTATAGACAAGCATGGGTTACTGAAGACCAATTCTAACCTGGATCTCCACTAGTATAGACAAGCATGGGTTACTGAAGACCAATTCTAACCTGGATCTTCATGGGTATAGACAAGCATGGGTTACTGAAGACCAATTCTAACCTGGATCTCCACGGGTATAGACAAGCATGGGTTACTGAAGACCAATTCTAACCCGGATCTGAAGACCACGGGTATAGACAAGCATGGGTTACTGAAGACCAATTCTAACCTGGATCTCCACGGGTATAGACAAGCATGGGTTACTGAAGACCAATTCTAACCTGGATCTCCATGGGTATAGACAAGCATGGGTTACTGAAGACCAATTCTAACCTGGATCTCCACGGGTATAGACAAGCATGGGTTACTGAAGACCAATTCTAACCTGGATCTTCACGGGTATAGACAAGCATGGGTTACTGAAGACCAATTCTAACCCGGATCTCCATGGGTATAGACAAGCATGGGTTACTGAAGACCAATTCTAACCTGGATCTCCACGGGTATAGACAAGCATGGGTTACTGAAGACCAATTCTAACCTGGATCTCCATGGGTATAGACAAGCATGGGTTACTGAAGACCAATTCTAACCTGGATCTCCACGGGTATAGACAAGCATGGGTTACTGAAGACCAATTCTAACCTGGATCTCCATGGGTATAGACAAGCATGGGTTACTGAAGACCAATTCTAACCTGGATCTTCATGGGTATAGACAAGCATGGGTTACTGAAGACCAATTCTAACCCGGATCTTCACGGTTCCCAACTTCATGTGAAGAGAGGACCTCAGCATGTGTCGTAGCTGATATCGCAGTTTCCACCGAGACGAAAGTTTCACTCATCTGCTTCACACTTAGATCTATGCAGGAAGATTCCCGCAGACAAAAAAACTTTTAGCACTGTTTTGACAAATGAGACTCCCAACTTTTCAAGTCAACTTTGACTTTTGTTAAGCAATCTTATAGTGGCTCCTACCTTCTGTATGTACATTTCACTGCTGAAGTACAATCGAGCATACAAAAGAAATATTTGACGAAGGTTACAGCCTTCAAGGCTTTAGTGAGGTGAGGTGAAATTGGGTCTTACGTCGTGCTTGAGAATATTTCACTCATATGACGACGTGCATGCATGCGTGTGTTATGTGTGAGTGCGGCTGCTTGTACTAGCCCAGACTTAAGCTGGTTTTATAGTGCTAGCCCACTGAGATACCATGCCGCAGTGAAGCATGAATAACCCACTCAGACACATTATACAGACTCCGAGCCGACCAGTCCTTGTTGTACCCATTTGTGCCGAGCGCCAGGCAGGGACCAACAAGTACCATATTTTAACGTCTTTTTGGTATGATGCGGTCGGGGATGGAACCCGCTCTAACCACTACACCACGGAGGCGGTCAAGGCTTTAGTGAAGCTTTCTAAAGTTTCAAAATTTAGAGGTGAGGTGGGGTGAAATTGGGTTTAACGTCGTTCAAAATTTAGAGGAAATTCCAAATTTCATGCATCAGTGACAAAAATGATGTCTGATACCAAACCCCATTTCGGTGGAATTTTAATTTGCTCTCAGTAGAGATTGTTAATGATTATGGAAATGATTCTTGTTGCTTTTAATTATATAAAAATATGAGTGAATGAATTTAGTTTTACGCTGCTCTGTAGCAATATTACTGCAACATCACAGTGGACACCAGAAATGAGTTATACACATTGAACCCATGTTGGGAATCATACCCGAGCCTTCCTATGACGTCGGACGCTTTAAACAGTAGGCTAGCCCACCACCACTGTTTATACTGGACATGATAAGTCTGGGATATTGGTATTTTTATGATTGATATTTTATCAGTGTGTCAATGAGTAAATAGATTATTATTCATAATATCAAATTTACATATATCCCTAACTATTTTTGTCCAGTATATATATATATAAAAAAAGTCAGCACTAATGATACAAAATGATTTTAATGACGACATGAAATGGTAAAACAGCAGACATGGAAGTACTATACAACATCAATGTTTGGAGATCCAAGTCATCGACAAGCAGATATCTCCACTCCACAAGTAATGTGCATGTGAGAATGTGACTGTTAGAAACCGCACTCAGCAGTATTCCAGCTACATAACAGCGGACATTAAATGTCAGATCTGGAACAGACAATCCAGTGATCAATAATTCAGCCACCCAGTGATTTTGTTGGGAGTCACTACACAAGGTAACAACTAGAGATGTGGCATTTCTGTGACATACACCAGTAGATGGACAGATGGGGATCTTCTTCTTTATAATCACAAGGATGTTCAGAACCATCTGACCGACATGCATCTGATCATGTCTGAAGATTAGTAGTACACCTATTTCTCCTGCACTGCACATCCACTTGAAAAGCATTGTGTATCTCCTTATGTCTGAAGATTAGGGGTAGACATTTCTTTTGGATTACACATATTTGTTCCAATCGAAAAGCATTGTGTATTAACAGTACACTGGTGGTAAATTGGTTGGAGGTTTTTGATATTTTTAAAGCAATATAAAATATGTATAAATTCACAATTTTTAATATCTAAAGTTCATTTGCCACATGAGGCCTGTAAACAAATAGTGGTAAAATGTCTGGTTCTTTCCAGACCACACTAAAGATGTTATTCTCACTGTACTGCTCATGACAACAGAACCCATCACTCTGATCAGTCGTTGGTGTGTACGCTAAGGATTAACGAGGCTGTAAAGTCACCAGGTCCTCTCCATAATTACCATCAGTTTTTAATACGTTGCTATGGCAACAGTTGGTGAGTCCACATCAGCCACTCACACACAACTGAAATGGCCAACCAATGTCCACAGGGTGGCACCGATGGCTCAACACAAGATGTGCCTGCAATAATGCACCAGTAGGCCCATGATACTAAATGCACATATGCGATAGAATCTGGCAATCGGTACAACAGTTTGTCTGTTTATCATTACATAATGGTCTAGGAGGGAAAAATAAACCGCCCTTCTTACTCTTAACAGATCTCCTGCCCCAAACAGATATCATCAGTATGATAGTCTATCTTCCTGTACATGGAAAAATAGTGAGCTCCATGTTTGTTTTCTGCAAATGGTTGCTGTGGTAGTGGCTTGGTCTTGTTTAAGGAGCTGGATTCTGAAATAAATACAACAGCCTTTCATTCAGGATCAGATGTCAGTGTGAGTGATTGTTGTTTTCAGTCTCACCAATATCAGACCTTTCTTTCCAAAACCAGCATTAAAGAACACCTGAAATACCTGATATTGGTCTCATCATGTTTTCATGAAAATGAACTGAATTGGCAGTTTCTGAATGTAAATAACAAAGGCTGTGTCTATGACATCTTCAACAAGATTGGGCACACCGCATAGAAATGTTCCTTGTTTTTTGTGTCATTCATTGTTCAAATCTCTGAATGGAGACAGTACAGAAATGAGTGAGTGAGTGAGCTAATATTTAACATCACATCAGCAATATTTCAGCCATACCATGAAGTAAGGAAAAGGAAGCTGAATCCCTTTAGAAAGCTGATATCTAATTGGTTAAAAAACCTATGCATTCTTACTTTACATCAGACAGATGCAACCATTCTTCATGTTCCACATATTCTATGGAGGAGATGTTAACGCATTTTGTATAAATTTAGTATTAACATTTACTCAGTAAAGTATTCAAGTCAATCTGTTGTGTGGGGTCAAGCATTCCACAACCTTGTGTGAGACAAACAAGAACGTCGAGCGTTTGAACGAGGTTTCCACACATTCATCATGCGAGGTCAATGCTAAAAAGAACAGTGCAGCATTTCCTGTTCCGAAGAAATATCAGGAACATGGAATCAGTTTTAAGTGGAATCTGTGACTGCAGGACTGGCAGCTAGATCTTTGTGATGTTTTTGACGTGAAAGTAATTTATCACACAATTTGGGGAACACAAGCAAAATACTGAAACTTTAGGATAAACAGTAACTGCTACACCAAAAACATGATAGTTGGCATCTCCGAGTCATCAGTAATCCTGTAGGGCAGCTGGTAAATATTCAAACCAGTGGTGGATAGCATGAGCAACAAGGACACATGTAACCAGGTCAAATACAGAGTGAACCTGATCCTGACTTAACACATTGTATATACATGTGGGGAATCAAACCCTGGCCATCGTGACAAGTGAACACACTGACCACAAGGCTACTCACCACTACTGACCCTCCTGGGTGTCCATGACAAGTGAACACACTGACCACAAGCTACTCACCACTACTGGCCCTCCTGGGTGTCCATGACAAGTGAACACACTGACCACAAGGCTACTCACCACTACTGGCCCTCCTGGGTGTCCATGACAAGTGAACACACTGACCACAAGGCTACTCACCACTACTGGCCCTCCTGGGTGTCCATGACAAGTGAACACACTGACCACAAGGCTACTCACCACTACTGACCCTCCTGGGTGTCCATGACAAGTGAACACACTGACCACAAGGCTACTCACCACTACTGGCCCTCCTGGGTGTCCATGACAAGTGAACACACTGACCACAAGGCTACTCACCACTACTGACCCTCCTGGGTGTCCATGACAAGTGAACACATTGACCACAAGGCTACTCACCACTACTGACCCTCCTGGGTGTCCATGACAAGGGAACACACTGACCACAAGGCTACTCACCACTACTGACCCTCCTGGGTGTCCATGCCTTCATCATCTCCTCCTTCCTCCTCTTCCTCTTCTCCCTCCTTCCTCTCGATCTTCTCGTACGCCTTGTCGGATGGCGTAACAACCACACCCTCCCACACGCTCATCTCGGTGGCAATACCTGACATAAATACATAAGGCAGAGATTAAAATGCTGTATTGAATACTCTTCATGTTATATCTAATGTCTGGCTATTGTGGAAGGAATTACTGAAGAAAGCAGGGGGCACAACTCCATACAACAAAATGTGGATCCTTAAAGCCATTTGGCTACCCATGATTCTAAGATGCACAAACATAAAACATTTTCGTCAGGCAAGCAAAAGATCCAAGTCCAAATTGTTATTGATTGAGACTTACTTGAGTTACCCTCCATTCCCAAGATCTGCTTGAAACCACCATGACTGAGGACTCGGAGCAATGTCTGAGCTGTGAAACACACCTGGTCCTACAAAAACACATAGGAACATTGACTGATGGACTGACATGGACTGAACAACTGACTAATAAATGGATTGAATGACTTAATGAATTCCTCATTAATAATTGACTGACGGATTGAAGGTGAGATTGAACAATAGACTGACCGAACAAAACATGACTGAACAACTTAATGAAGGAGTGAATCATTCATGATTGAACAATGACTAGGGCTGCAAAAGATCCACAAAAAAAGGATCAACATCACCCCTTAATGCATTTACTGCTTGTATTTTGAAAGGCTGTTTTAGCCTGTAGATCAGTTGGCTTCCACACAGCCTGCATAACAAGGAGGGATGGTGTCACACGTCTCCCCACAACTGATGGTCCTCCTGTTGAACAGGCTTTATAATACAGTGCTCTTTATACACGTCTCCCCACAACTGATGGTCCTCCTGTTGAACAGGCTTTATAATATAGCGCTCTTTAACCATGGCTTTATGTTACCCGTTTTGATTTTTGTACATCTTAATTACTTTGCAGTAAATGCTTTATGGGTAAGGCAGGGTAAGTTCACCTTCTGCTTGGTCTCTTACATGCTATCATTCACTTTCTCACGTTACCTGTTGCTCAAGGGTCATGACTGTGTGGACTCGGACTGTCCCTTGCTCACACGGGTCTGTGATGCCCACCGACCCCGGCAGGAAGAAGCCAGCGGTGGAGAAGCCAGCGGCCAGCAGCTGGAGACATCGTCTGAAACAGACAGAAGGACTTTATAGTGTGTCAGGTCTTACACTGGTTAGTGTCTGAAACAGACAGAAGGACTTTATAGTGTGTCAGGTCTAACACTGCTTAGTGTCTGAAACAGACAGAAGGACTTTATAGTGTGTCAGGTCTTACACTGGTTAGTGTCTGAAACAGACAGAAGGACTTTATAGTATGTCAGGTATAACACTGCTTAGTGTCTGAAACAGACAGAAGGACTTTTTAGTGTGTCAGGTCTAACACTGCTTAGTGTCTGAAACAGACAGAAGGACTTTATAGTGTGTCAGGTCTAACACTGCTTAGTGTCTGAAACAGACAGAAGGACTTTATAGTGTGTCAGGTCTTACACTGGTTAGTGTCTGAAACAGACAGAAGGACTTTATAGTGTGTCAGGTCTAACACTGATTAGTGTCTGAAACAGACAGAAGGACTTTTTAGTGTGTCAGGTCTAACACTGCTTAGTGTCTGAAACAGACAGAAGGACTTTATAGTGTGTCAGGTCTAACACTGCTTAGTGTCTGAAACAGACAGAAGGACTTTATAGTGTGTCAGGTCTAACACTGATTAGTGCCTGAAACAGACAGAAGGACTTTATAGTTTGTCAGGTCTTACACTGGTTAGTGTCTGAAACAGACAGAAGGACTTTATAGTATGTCAGGTATAACACTGCTTAGTGCCTGAAACAGACAGAAGGACTTGATAGTATGTCAGGTATAACACTGCTTAGGGCCTGAAACAGACAGAAGGACTTTATAGTGTGTCAGGTCTAACACTGTTTAATGTGAGTTACAAGATTATGTTGCATTGGAACTATGTCAGATATAGAGTGAACCTCAGAACAGTTATATCATGGTGTGTCGGCTGAACAAGCACTAAACATGGTTGTACATGACATCTTGTGCCCAGCATGCAGCAATTTTTCATCTAAAAGACATAAGACACAAACAAAAGTGGACCTGATAATTCAGTGATTGACACCATGAGCATTGATCCAGTGGGTGCATGAGTTTGGTTTTACACCACATTTAGCAATATTGCTGCAATATCACGGTAGGGAGACCAGCAATAGGCTTCACACATAGTACTTGTGGACTTCTCCAAGTCACATTAGTTGCCTCTTACAACAAGCATAAGATGCTGAAGACTAATTCTGATCTGGATCTTCACAGGTCCAGGACTGAATGAAAACAAATAGCATACAATGTGAAGTTGGTTTGTGAAGCAAACTGCTCCTGTCTAAAATTATTAGAGGCAGAGTTGTTTTATGCAACTATCTGGGATCAAAACAAACTTTAAAGTGAGCATCTAAGTAATTGTTTACTTGCATTCATATTCTACGAGTGAGTGAGTTTAGTTTTACGCCGCACTCAGCAATATTCCAGCTATTTATTTATTATAGGATATTTATATAGCGCACATATCCATGCACTAGTGCATGCTCAAGGCGCTGGTATTTTTTCCCTCGATCATTGGATGTCAATCTCAACGGCACATTGCATTATCAATCTCAACTCCCTGGGGTGTATACAACTCTTGCAGCCACTAGGCGCACCAAGTTATTTCGGCTTTCTCATCCTAACAAGGTACCCATTCAGTTGGGTGGACTGGGACACATAGTCACAGTACTTTGTCCATGTTCCCTGCACGTTGCTGTACCTGCAACTAGGTGTTTGCACGTATTCATGTGGCCACCATCTGGTCAAATACCAATGGATTCGTGGGTTCTTAAGTGCACAGGGTTGTGTACTGTACACTAGGGGTTGTGACAACACTGAAAGAGTCTGCACACAAAGTTGACTCCAAGGGTTTTACACCCGGTCACAGGTGGGCTCAATCCCGACACCTCAACCTCGCTGGATCACTAGCCTGGTGCCTTAGCCAGCTCGCCCACCACGCCCGCCCGCTATATGGCAATGGTCTGTAAATAATCGAGTCTGGACCAGACAATCCAGTGATGAGCAGCATGAGCATCGATCTGCGCAATTGGGAACCAGGGCTACAAATAAGGGGCGTACAGGCGTAATGTACGCCTCAAAATCAATTAAGTACGACATAATATAAGATTTCAAGCGTATCGTGTACGCACATAAATACCTTCGTACGTCTAGCATTTCATTTCCGTGCGTATCATGCAAATGGCAATCTATTTCGGATAAATACTTGTTGTTAAGTTTCTTTTGCGAAACACGATTTGACACAGTAGGAAACCCCGACATTAGGAATCCCTTGCGTTGCCATGCAACGATATGCGTCACTATTTTTCGATTGGCTAAAAACTACACTGTTCCTATTTATATCCAGTCGGACCTGACATTTCGCGCATCACACAGTCGCTCAGTTATTTCTCACGGGTCTTCAAATACAAATACATGGTTGGAAATAGTGATCGATGAATCGTCCAGACAAACCACATCAACTCGCTCACACAAAAACATGTCAGTACTCCTTCAAAATTCTCACTACACCTCCACTTGCAATATGATGTGTAAGTACACTCACACCCCCAAAAGTTATCTAGAGCCCTGGGGAACCGATGGCTTGTGTCAACCAAGTCAGCGAGCCTGACCACCCGATCTCGTCAGTCATGCTAACAACAAGCATGGGTTACTGAAGATCAATATTCTAACCTGGACCTTCACGGATCATATTCTATGATCTACTCAAGGATACACATGTGCACATATACCGAGATATGGTTCGGACTTGTGGCACTTCTTGGGGTCAAAGCCTGATTACTGCAAACGCTAAGCTTACGTTGCCTAGCAACAAGAGAACCGACAACATAAGGACATATATGTGCACATATAGCGAGATCTGGTTCAGATTTGTAGCACTTATTGGGTTGAAAACCTGTTGGCTACAAGCACTAAGCTTATGTCGACTACCAACAAGAGAACCGACTGACAGATTCGTGTGTCTCATTTTGTCTCTGACGACTGTTTCAACTTACTTAAATGCAACATTGATGGGTAGAGGCTGGCGTGAAGGGTTGTTCATGACGGCGTAGTGTCCCTGCAACAGCAACAACATCAGCATGACATACTTCCCCAATCTGAAGAAGCTCTGCATGTTTAATTCCACGATGAGATGTATTAACACCCAGGGCTAGCTAAAAGATTGGTAATCAGAAATACCATTAATGGTAAGAAACTCTTGTGAAATAACATTTAATTTACACACACAATACACAAAGTGTATTTATTCATACTCAAGTTCAAAACTATGTTCAGAATGCTGCCTTTGTATGTCATCCCAGTATAAATGTGTTGGCTCTCACCAGAGTAATGAAGTATGTTTGTCATCCCAGTATAAATGTGTTGGCTCTCACCAGAGTAATGAAGTATGTTTGTCATCCCAGTATAAATGTGTTGACTCTCACCAGAGTAATGAAGTATGTTTGTCATCCCAGTATAAATGTGTTGGCTCTCACCAGAGTAATGAAGTATGTTTGTCATCCCAGTATAAATGTGTTGGCTCTCACCAGAGTAATGAAGTATGTTTGTCATCCCAGTATAAATGTGTTGGCTCTCACCAGAGTAATGAAGTATGTTTGTCATCCCAGTATAAATGTGTTGGCTCTCACCAGAGTAATGAAGTATGTTTGTCATCCCAGTATAAAATGTGTTGGCTCTCACCAGAGTAATGAAGTATGTTTGTCATCCCAGTATAAATGTGTTGACTCTCACCAGAGTAATGAAGTATGTTTGTCATCCCAGTATAAATGTGTTGGCTCTCACCAGAGTAATGAAGTATGTTTGTCATCCCAGTATAAATGTGTTGGCTCTCACCAGAGTAATGAAGTATGTTTGTCATCCCAGTATAAATGTGTTGGCTCTCACCAGAGTAATGAAGTATGTTTGTCATCCCAGTATAAATGTGTTGGCTCTCACCAGAGTAATGAAGTATGTTTGTCATCCCAGTATAAATGTGTTGGCTCTCACCAGAGTAATGAAGTATGTTTGTCATCCCAGTATAAATGTGTTGGCTCTCACCAGAGTAATGAAGTATGTTTGTCATCCCAGTATAAATGTGTTGGCTCTCACCAGAGTAATGAAGTATGTTTGTCATCCCAGTATAAATGTGTTGGCTCTCACCAGAGTAATAAAGTATGTTTGTCATCCCAGTATAAATGTGTTGACTCTCACCAGAGTAATGAAGTATGTTTGTCATCCCAGTATAAATGTGTTGACTCTCACCAGAGTAATGAAGTATGTTTGTCATCCCAGTATAAATGTGTTGGCTCTCACCAGAGTAATGAAGTATGTTTGTCATCCCAGTATAAATGTGTTTGGCTCTCACCAGAGTAATGAAGTATGTTTGTCATCCCAGTATAAATGTGTTGGCTCTCACCAGAGTAATGAAGTATGTTTGTCATCCCAGTATAAATGTGTTGGCTCTCACCAGAGTAATGAAGTATGTTTGTCATCCCAGTATAAATGTGTTGGCTCTCACCAGAGTAATGAAGTATGTTTGTCATCCCAGTATAAATGTGTTGGCTCTCACCAGAGTAATGAAGTATGTTTGTCATCCCAGTATAAATGTGTTGGCTCTCACCAGAGTAATGAAGTATGTTTGTCATCCCAGTATAAATGTGTTGGCTCTCACCAGAGTAATGAAGTATGTTTGTCATCCCAGTATAAATGTGTTGGCTCTCACCAGAGTAATGAAGTATGTTTGTCATCCCAGTATAAATGTGTTGGCTCTCACCAGAGTAATGAAGTATGTTTGTCATCCCAGTATAAATGTGTTGGCTCTCACCAGAGTAATGAAGTATGTTTGTCATCCCAGTATAAATGTGTTGGCTCTCACCAGAGTAATGAAGTATGTTTGTCATCCCAGTATAAATGTGTTGGCTCTCACCAGAGTAATGAAGTATGTTTGTCATCCCAGTATAAATGTGTTGGATCTCACCAGAGTAATGAAGTATGTTGATTTCTTTTGGTTATTTTTAGCATTCTTCCTCAAAGTTGTATTGATAATCAACTGATATCTAGTGACCAATTATCAATCTCTGTGACATTATCCCAATAACCAGCCCAATTAACAGCAAGCTCCAAGACAATAAACCATCTGAGACACCAATACCCAAGACATCACCTCTCAGCATACTGCATAGTGAGTGGTTAAGTGATTGGTTAAGTGATTGGGTGAGCGAGTGATTGGGTGAGTGGTTGAGTGAGTGAGTGGTTGAGTGAGTGGTTGAGTGGTTGAGTGAGTGGTTGAGTGGTTGAGTGAGTGAGTGAGTGAGTGAGTGAGTGAGTGAGTGAGTGAGTGAGTGAGTGAGTGAGTGAGTGAGTGAGTGAGTGAGTGAGTGAGTGAGTGAGTGAGTGAGTGAGTGAGTGAGTGAGTGAGCTAGCTTAGTTTCACGCCGCTTTTAGCAATATTCCAGCAATATCACGGAGGGGGACACCAGACCTGTATTATCACACATTGTACCCATGTGGGAATTGAAGCTGGGTCTTCAATGATGAGCAAATGCTTCAACAACTCATCTACCTCACCGATATAGGTTCTAGAAGTCTTCCGGGCGGTGGGGTAGTCTAGTGGTTAAAGCGTTGGCTCGCGACGCCCAAGATCCGGGTTCGAATCCCCAAATGGGTACAATGTGTGAAGCCCATTTCTGGTGTCCCCGGCCGTGATGTTGCTGGAATATTGCTAAAAGCGGCGTAAAACCAAACTCAGTCAGTCAGTCAGTACAATGAGTGAAGCCCATTTCTGGTGTCCCCCGCCGTGATATTGCTGGAATATTGCTAAAAGCGACGTAAAACCAAACTCAAGTCAATCAGTCAGTCTAGAAGTCTTCCACACACAGCAGCGTGTGCTATACGCATACAGTTTGGGAATGAAAGCAAACAAGTTTCCTTGAGATCCCCTATCTTGGAAAACTGATCCAACAACAGGTCACTTCAGAGCGCCAACGGTTGAGGTTTCTACCAAACATTGAAGTGAATGATTCTGGCACAACTGGGGGACAACTGGGTTCAAGATGTGGCACGTGCTAGGTAACTGGACAAGAGCAAGCGTCCTCTGAAGGGGCATTGTATCAAATAACTGTCCTCACCATCAGGTCGATTATCCAGGGTGTGAGGGGCTGTAGGCCTTCGAACCTGTTCTTCAGATCTCGCAGTAGTCGAATCAACACCTTGATGCTGGAAGGAGAGAAATACTGGTCTAAAACACAATTGCAATGGTAGTCAGGGCCTTGACAGCTTATCTGATTTGTTCTTAACAACACTTATACTAAAATAGACAAATAGTTATATTAATATCATACTTCACATATATCATATATATCTTTCAATTTAGTGATATTTGTACCGGGAGACAATTTGATTTATGTTTGTTAGGGTGTTATCTCCCTTGAATACATTATAAAAGTCAGCATGAAGTGAGGTACAACTTTGGACAGTGGCTGGTGTTTCAGAGAAAATTTGATCTCAATTGAAACGATGAAAACTAGTATTGTACCTTGAGTGTAACGGCATTCTCCTCAAACCAGCGTGCGTGTCTGACAGCCGCCAGATGGCCCTGCATGACCTTCCCATCCACTGAAACAAGGGGAAAGCAACAACCTGAGAGAGTGAGAGTGAGAGAGCGAGAGAGAGAGAGAGAGAGAGAGAGAGAGAGAGAGAGAGAAAGAGAGAGGGAGGGAGAGAGAGGGAGAGAGAGAGAGAGAGAGAGAGAGAGAGGGGAGAGAGAGAGAGAGAGAGAGAGTGAGAGAGAGAGAGAAAGAGAGAGAGAGGGGGAGGGAGGGAAAAAGGGAAAAGGCATACAGCAGCTATGTACTTACGATGAAGTTCTGGGTCCAGCTTCTTCAAGTTTGGTGGGATGGTGGTGATAAGTCCCTTCACACTTGCATCTGCGGAGCTGATCTCAAACCCAGAGTCGTTCGTCAGCATACTTAGCACTGAAACACATGACATGTAACAATAGCAAATAAACATTAACATCATGGAACATAAGCAAAAACATGTAGTATTTGCAGCAATAACATGTAACATCAACATGGAAAATTACTCTGTAAGATTAACATCCGCCAATATCATGTAACATCAACAGGTAACATTTATGTGTAACATTTAAATGTAACAATAACATTAACATGAACTTCTATAATTTACGTGTAACATTAACAAATGTAGGCAGAAATTGTGAGGGCCGGGTCTTCTGAAATCAGGTTCTACATTCGATCAATGAAAAGGCAGCATATTCCTTTGGAGAGCATTGTGAGGTGATCTGTTGACTGGGGACTTCTCTCATGATGACTCTCACCTTCATTGGGTTCCTGCACCTTGAGTTCTTCCAATACCTTGTTGCCTAGCGATGCCACTGCTTCCTCTGAAGAATTACAACCAACACATATAATACACAGCTGCTATCTTGAAGCATGTAATTTGTAAACAGCTTGAGATGCAAACAAGAAGACAAAGTCATCAATATCCCCCTCAAAGGCAAAATACTCTTCATGATTATGTCTACGAGTTATGATTATGTCAAATATTTAGGTGTGTATATAGAAAAGTGGAAGGAGAGTATTGAAAGGTTTTGAAAGTTCTGCTCCAGAAAGCAGCACTATCACCAATTTCAGGCTAAGTCAAACGTGTTGCCATGGAAACGCCAAAAATATTTTATTCAGAATTCCAAAACTACCAAAAGGCACCAGTACACCACCAGATCTATCTATGTGCCAAGTTTGGTGAAGAAATATTGAACGATTTTAGAGTTCTGCTCTGGAAAAAAGCACTACCACCAATTTCAGTCTAAGTCGAACTTGTTGCCATGGAAACGCCAAATATATTTTATTCAGAATTCCAAAACCACCAAAAGGCACCAGTCTTTCCGGGGATGTAACCTGGAATCTCTAACTGTAAATCATGTGTAGCGTGCGTGTTAACCTGACTGACTGACTTACTTGTAGGTAGAGTCTTTCCGGGGATGTAACTTGGAATCTCTAACTGTAAATCATGTGTAGCGTGCATGTTAACCTGACTGACTGACTTACTTGTAGGTAGAGTCTTTCCGGGGATGATTGTAACCTGGAATCTCTAACCGTAAATCATGTGTAGCGTGCGTGTTAACCTGACTGACTGACTTACTTGCAGATGGAGTCTTTCCGGGGATGTAACCTGGAATCTCTAACTGTAAATCATGTGTAGCATGCGTGTTAACCTGACTGACTGACTTACTTGTTGGTAGAGTCTTTCCGGGGATGTAACCTGGAATCTCTAACTGTAAATCATGTGTAGCATGCGTGTTAACCTGACTGACTGACTTACTTGTAGGTAGAGTCTTTCCGGGGATGTAACCTGGAATCTCTAACTGTAAATCATGTGTAGCGTGCGTGTTAACCTGACTGACTGACTTACTTGTAGGTAGAGTCTTTCCGGGGATGTAACCTGGAATCTCTAACTGTAAATCATGTGTAGCGTGCGTGTTAACCTGACTGACTGACTGACTTACTTGTAGGTAGAGTCTTTCCGGGGATGTAACCTGGAATCTCTAACTGTAAATCATGTGTAGCGTGCGTGTTAACCTGACTGACTGACTTACTTGTAGGTAGAGTCTTTCCGGGGATGTAACCTGGAATCTCTAACTGTAAATCATGTGTAGCATGCGTGTTAACCTGACTGACTGACTTACTTGTAGGTAGAGTCTTTCCGGGGATGTAACCTGGAATCTCTAACTGTAAATCATGTGTAGCGTGCGTGTTAACCTGACTGACTGACTTACTTGTAGGTAGAGTCTTTCCGGGGATGATTGTAACCTGGAATCTCTAACTGTAAAACGTGTAGCGTGCGTGTTAACCTGACTGACTGACTTACTTGTAGGTAGAGTCTTCAACATGACAACAATATCTGCCACATTGTGTCCACCCATCATTGTGCCTTTCTTGAACGACCCAACTTGTCGCACCTCCTCCACTTGCTGCAACACAAACAAGACAGCATTGCTCATGTGTGTGCATGTGCATGCATGTAAATCAACGCTCTAGTCAGTGGCATTCTACCTATACAACACTGACCAGTACACAATCTGGTACTGGACCAGACAGTCTCGTGATTGCTGTTGATTGTGTCGACAACATGATCCAACTCAATCACCCATCCATATTTGGATGCTGGGCACCAGATCTGTCCAGAATCACCAGAAACTGAAGCGATGGCAACACAGATCTCAGACATGGGATAATGTTGACTGCCTTAAAGTTAAAGTCTGGGTGCCCTTGAGAGGGAAATATTTCTATTCCTTGTTTAAAACATGCCCGATAGGTAACATGTTCAAGTAATGTTAGTGTTGCTGACTATTAATAACTGAACAAAACGTAATGAGGCTCAAAACCAGTGGCTTAAATGAGACATATATATTGTCACGTTGTCTTACAGCGTCATCATAGTATGTGCCCAGGAAATGGATTGATCAGAAATTCATATTGTGACGTCTCACAATGGCATCGTATACAGTGTTCGTCTCACAGCAGCGTAGTATGTGCCCAGGATATTGACCTGTCATAGATTTATATTGTGACGTTGTCTCACAGCGGCATCGTATGTGCCCAAGACATTGACCAATCATAGAGTTATATAGTTGTGTCACAGCGGCATCGTATGTGCCCAAGACATTGACCAATCATAGAGTTATATAGTTGTGTCACAGCGGCATCGTATGTGCCCAAGACATTGACCAATCATAGAGTTATATAGTTGTCTCACAGCGGCATCGTATGTGCCCAAGACATTGACCAATCATAGAGTTATATAGTTGTCTCACAGCGGCATCGTATGTGCCCAAGACATTGACCAATCATAGAGCTATATAGTTGTCTCATCGCAGCATCGTATATACCCAAGACACTGACCAATCATAGAGTTATATAGTTGTTTCACCGCAGCATCGTATATACCCAAGACATTGACCAATCATAGAGCTATATAGTTGTCTCATCGCAGCATCGTATATACCCAAGACACTGACCAATCATAGAGTTATATAGTTGTCTCATCGCAGCATCGTATATACCCAAGACACTGACCAATCATAGAGTTATATAGTTGTCTCACCGCAGCATCGTATATACCCAAGACATTGACCAATCATGGACTTATATCGTGGTGAGTACTCACAGCGGCATCGAATGTACCGGGGGCAATGACCAGGTTGTCAAGGATACCCTGTATCTTGGTGACGAGGGCCAGAATGGAGGCCTGTTCCTGGGCTGTGGGAGTCAGGTCTGTGTTCCTCTTCAACAGTGACTACAACATAAACATCAACATCCCAGAGAGTCCTCTTTATGAGCTCAATATTCAGGAGACATTTGTTCAGGAGATCATCAAAATGAGTAATTGGTTGAAGAAGAGGGAAAAAATATTCAGCCGATTAACATAAACAGACAGACAAAGGACAATGTTGTTGGTTCGTGTGTTGTATTACACTGCACTCAGCAATGTTATAGCAATACAACATTCTGTATACAATTGAGTCTGGACCAGATAATCCAATGATTGATGTCATGAATGTAACCTTCTTACCATGGTTTTGGCAAGAAAAACTGCAGAACAATCCTAATGTGGATAGGAGAAAGAACAGTAGGGCGTGTGATTTCATGGACACCAGTTACACTGGACTCCATCTGCCCTGAAACTAGTGGCTCATACAACTCCTGGGGCATTTCATACTTTCACAGGGCTCATACAGATCATCAGCCATTAGACTTAAGGCCTTTCCATGGCCCATCAACAATTGTAAGGAACTACAGAAACACTTACAACACATAGGTAGCTGAATACATACAAGTCTGGACCGACCAGAGGGACATAATGCTTAGCTATATCTCTGCACTAGGAAAGTTTTGCTTCGTGCTGGAGATTAATTAACACCCACTGTCATTACATGGTATGTTTTTATGTTTTAGAATCGTGTAAAATCATAGCTTGACAAGTTTTGCTAGATATAGGGCCTTTTAGGGCATATCACTATGAATCGGGCCCTTTTCAAGGCTATAACGAATGTAGGGCTTTTTTAGGGCATATCACCATGAATCGGGCCCTTTTCAAGGCTAAAACGAATGTAGGGCCTTTTAGGGCATATCACTATGAATCGGGCCCTTTTCAAGGCTAAAACGAATGTAGGGCCTTTTAGGGCATATCACTATGAATCAGGCCCTTTTCAAGGCTAAAACGAATGTAGGGCCTTTTTAGGGTAAACTTTCAGACCTCCTCAAGCCCCTGTTACAATATCACATCTGGAAACACACAAACTTACTTCGGTCAGGGCCTTTTCCTCAGGGGCTGTTTTGGCACGGGGAAACGTTGACTCACACTGAAAGTTCAAACATCCTAATGAGCGAGTGAGTTTAGATTTACGCTGCTTTCACCAATATTGCAGCCATATCATGCTGAGGTACACCAGAAATAGGCTTCACACAATGTACTGATGGAGAACCGAACCCGGGTCCGCGGCGTGACGAGTGAACAAGTTAACCACTAGGCTACCCCACGGCCCCTGATTTATAATCAATATGTGGCATTTACAGATTCCAGTAAGGAATGTCCTTCCCCTCTGGTCGTACTCGCACCCATTTCATGGTCAGTTTGTCACGACAATGATATACTCAGTGAATGAGTACTGTTTTAAGTTATAAGGATCGTAAGGAGACACGATTTCACCGCAGTTAATATAAACTTTCTTTAATGACATATTGAGTGACACTAATAAATTTAGATTGCAAAAGTAACTCCAGATATACAAATAGCTTGTTCTATTACTAGATAGTGTAACAACAGGGTTTACTTGTATAATTCAATGAGTTTGTTGGTACTTCCAAAGACTGATTAGGAAAAGATGAACAAATGTGGGTAGTTCAGCTTATGTACGGAACATATTATTTTGATTTTGAGGGTCAAGCTAGGACCTCAGCTTATCTATGAGTGAGTGAGTGTGAGTGAGAGAGTCACATCAGCAATATTTCAAGCATATCGTGACAAAATCAAGTTATAGATTTATAAAAAATATTTAAAAGTGAATTATAAACACAGGTCAACGAACGACAGTGAAATAACTAGTATATCACAGATACAATTTTTTAAACTAGTAATTAAATCATAAACAGCTTAACTATAGATGATAAAAACAAGCTATACATCGCCAACAACTGAAGGTTGATCACCATACTAAGGACCATGGGGACTTACAATACCCTTGCCTGAACTCACTCACAATTTATTATCAAACAATGTTACTGAACTCGCCAGTCTCGCCTGTACTAACTGACTGAGTTTGGTTTTATGCCGCTTTTAGCAATTTTCCAGCAACATCACGGCGGGGGACACCAGAAATGGGCTTCACATATTGTACCCATGTGGGGATTCGAACCCGGGTGTTCGGCATGGCGAGCCAACGCTTTAACCACTAGGCTACCCCACCGCCCCTCGCCTGTACTAAGTCAATCGGTATCAAACAATGTTACTAAACTTGCCAGTCTCGCCTGTACTAAGTCAACTGGGTTAAAAAAATGTTACTAAACTCACCAGTCTCACCTGTACTAAGTCAAACGGTATCAAACAATGTTACTAAACTCGCCAGTCTCACCTGTACTAAGTCAAACAATGTTACTAAACTCGCCAGTCTCACCTGTACTAAGTCAATCGGTATCAAACAACGTTACAAAACTTGCAAGTCTCACCTGTACTAAGTCAAACGGTATATGGGGGATGAACGCCCTGAATCTGAAATGGGAAAACACAAAATATACTTCAACAGAAACTGTGACATATTTACTGAATTAAGCCATAGGGAATTACAAATGTCATGGGAAAATAGTGTTGGGAATCTGAAACCAAATCCATTATCAATTATCGGAGGTCTTGTGGTGAACGATTATTGACTATAATCAAAATATATGCATTTTTAATTTAATCACCAATTCCCCAGGTTTTTTTTAATTGATGTTTTTTTATAACTAATACTGTCATGCAATGAAATGCATGCATGCAAGTATGACACTGGAAATATAATTAAACAATAAAAGTGGTTAAAATTTTACAATGTGCATAGCTTTACGCTGTTGAGAGCGTGTTTGTTCGTGTATATTTAACAAATTAAATGGTTAGTATACGATTTTCATTTCTTTTCGATCATCGGAACACCACTACAATAAAAAGTAAACTGTATCACATTTGCAGTCCCGAACGTTGGCAAAGTCTTTATATGTTAATGAAATCAAAGAACATTATCAAATTTCATAATTAAATAACTCCACAATACAAGAAAATGGTAATATATTTCATTGCTGTGATAAGTATGGGTATGTTTTTATACGCCACTTTCAGCAATATTCCAGCAATATCACGACTGGTTATACCAGAAACGGGCTTCACACATTGTTCCTATGTGGGGAATCGAACCCAGGTCTTCAGTGTGACAAGTAAACGCTTTACCCACTATAATTGTCCATGAAAAGATCAACATTTTCTATTCTCAGAGATTAAAAAGTTCTAATTTCCCATCTTTGTGCATGAAAAATAATCATTTATAACTCTCATAACATCAAAAAACAAGATACATTTGCAAAATATAAATTGATACATAAACATTTAAACTGATACTTTCAAAACTAAATATCGATACATCTTGGAAAAAGTATCGATGCATATATATCATGGCATCGCTAGTTGTTTTTCAACAATCTGAGTCTGGGTCAGACAATCCAGGGAGCGTCACCATGCGATACAATGACAAGGAATTATCTGTTACTATAAAAACACATATATTTATACATAAGACTGAGCATGTGTCAAATAATCCTGGTGTCCCGAGTGTTGATGTGGCACATTCTTGAACATGTTTAAGGCCAGAAGTTCTACCCCATCCCGAGAATACTCTTACTATCAAATGAGTCGGCTAATGCTATTTCATGTACATAAACGTAAATAATAATTATCAATATATCATCTACATTGACAGAGTAAACTAAATGAAGCATTATATTGTGACACCTAGACACAATGGAATTGTGTACATACGGAGGTCCAGGTTTGAATGGGGGATGTGACGGTCTCATCCCTCCTCTCATTGGTGGGCCCCCTCGTCCTCGGAGATTCCTGTAAAAGAGCGTTGTCGTCATTCAGTACACTATGCAGGATTTGCTAAATATCGTGCATCATGAGCCTTGCCCCAGATGAGCTCTGTGTTCACATTATATATACAAATTAATCACAGTTATATAAGGTTCTGGCATTTGCATACAATTATGCCTGGGAAAAACACATCAGTTTGAAAATACTTTGGGTAACTACCATGATTTTCTGTTCAGACTAGACCCAGGCATCACACACACATGGACTCATCACGCATATGGATACATCACACACATGGATCCAGGCATCACACACATGGATCCAGGCATAACAAACATGGATCCAGGCATCACACACATGGATCCAGGCATAACAAACATGGATCCAGGCATCACACACATGGATCCAGGCATAACAAACATGGATCCAGGCATCACACACATGGATCCAGGCATAACAAACATGGATCCAGGCATCACACACACATGGACCATCATGCATATGGATACATCACACACATGGATCCAGGCATCACACACATGGATCCAGGCATTACACACACATGGACCATCACGCAAATGAATACATCACACACATGGATCCAGGCACCACACACATGGATCCAGGCACCACACACGAATGGACCATCACGCAAATGGATACATCACATACATGGATCCTGGCATCTCACACATGGATCCAGGCACCACACACGAATGGACCATCACGCAAATGGGTACATCACATACATGGATCCTGGCATCTCACACATAGATCCAGGCATCACACACGAATGGACCATCACGCAAATGGATACATCACATACATGGATCCTGGCATCTCATACATGGATCCTGGCATCTCACACAAATGGATCCATAACATACATGCAGGGTTTTACACCATTAGCGAAGTACGCTCAAATATAGAAAATGGACACAGAAAAAAATCACTGCGTCCAGAGGGATGCGCAATATTACTTACTGTACCCGCAACACACCTATGACCTTGGTAAGCGTTGGGCTATTTCTTTCAGAGCAGTCAGGGACCGTTCAAAACCTTCTTAAAAAGTCACTTGCCACTGGACTTTAAGAAAGTAACTTGCTCTGACTAATTTTCCACTTGCCCTGATTTTTATGAAATAATCATGATGATGTAATTATGAAAGAATAAATCAACATCCTATTTGATGTTAATGTTTACTGGCCTAGTTATTGAAAATTCTACCATGAATCAAGAAAATACTAGATTCTGATTGGTTGTTCAGAAAAATCAGACGGCATCAATTGTGGATTGACGCTCATCTGATTGTAAGGCCGATTCACCGCGCATTGACAAATCTTATTGTCAATCCGTTTGACCACAATGATGGCGGATCATAACAACAACTCCATGGATTTTGACGCTGACTTTCGAATATTCCACATAGGCAATTGGAAATTTTTGGATTAAAAATGCGTTTGATTTCATTGCGCTTCACTGCCGCACTATTTCAGCTTGACCACCAACATGACTAATATCAACACAACAGACGTGATGGAAATGCTGATAAAACAGTTATTTAAACTCGAAAAATACAATTATATGATCCCCCCCCCCCCTACAATTACGTGGGAACCTCACTATCATATTACCTTCTATTATAAAGATATTCAAACTCAGTTACAATACACAGCCCCAAACATAAACAAAACAATATCTAACATATAAATCAGAAAGCCTTGTGAAAATACATCCCTATCTATACAAAATATGCAGCAAAACATTAGTAAACATTTACCTACCTGGTAAATGGTATATTTAATTCCTTTTAGAATGGGAAATTTGCAAGATAGATCTAACGGTCTGGCGAAACACCACATTTATGCCACTCATAGTCATACTCCATCATATCCCGTTGCATCGTTCACAAAATAATTCTGCTGCTCTGCCAGCTTCTGCGCCAAGGTTGTCACTGTTATGTTCATCTACTTTGAAAACGCTTGGACACAGTCCAGTCCCAAGCGATGAAAACAAAGTTCCAAGGAATCACAAGTTAGTCGCATGTACACTCAGCAGCAGCACTGTCACCTTTTTGTGCATGCGGGGTGGAGGCAGTTCGTGAAATCATGATCGATTCGGTCATAAAATTCAACAGTCTTTGATGAGTTACAGGTCGTGTAGGTTGATCAGGAAAGGATCTATTCTTCGATTCTGCAGGGTTCAGATTCGACAGCCAGTCAAGTATTGCCCACTGTCACTTCAAATTTCAACCTTTCGCAAAATGTAAACACTGGCTCGTCCGCCATTTCAAACTGTTGCGTAACTGTCTACTTCGAAGAAAATAAGTAGGTCAGACAATTCCATTATAGTGTGGCCAGGGGGGTACAGTTTCACGGCACACAAAACAATAGGCTGGTTTTAGTCATGTGGAGTTGGGATGAAAAAAATCCCAAGGTCTCGGGTATTACATAATTGCATTGAATAAACAGTAGTTTGATTTCTTTGGACAGAATATTGTTATGTTGTAATGTTAAAAAAATACGAACGGCACCTACCGCTCCCTTCACAGACGAGTTCAATTCGCCTCTCGACCCATGCCGGATTACGCAGTGTCTTCCGCAGAGTGAGGAAGTTCGATTTTAAATGGTTCATGGTAGAATGGAGATAACCCTAGTGTGTTTGAAAATCAGAGACATGCTTTACTGAATTGATGGCGACTAAATATATCAATTGAAACCTCACGCTACGCCGGGTTCCAATTGAAATTTAGTCGCCATCAATTCAGTAAAGCATGTCTTTGATTTTCAAACACACTAGGTTTATCTCCTAAGTGATAAATAGCAAAGAAAGGTAACTCTACTTTATTATCACTGTGAAATTTAATTTTGAGCAGATATGGAATTTAATCCAAGTTTATTTGCAGTTTGAAACCATAAGTGGAAATTATCTAATAGCCCACAGACAAGTAAAATACCATTATTTGATTGCCCGAAATGAAAACGACTTGTCACGGGCGTCGGACAATGGGATTTTTTAACCCCTGCCAGTCCTCTTGATCATGATGATCAATGAAATATTCCAGGGTCTAACGAATAGGGCTGCAACGATTCACCCAGACCTCGATTCGATTCTCGATATTGGACCCTCGATTCAATCATTTTCAATTCGATTCTTCATTCAAGTAAAAACATCAGATTTCAATTAAATCTCAGAGTCGGCTTTGTTATTATGAAACCCATCGTCAACTTGGCGATGTCTCCTAACAACAATTGTCATTTTATAATCAACCCGGCGTCAACCAATCACGTTTTGCCTAATTTCAGCGATCAAAACTGCTTAAGTTAGAGTCAAAATTACATTCTGGGTGTGTAGAAATAATTTAAATAGGTGTTCAAATATCTAATCGAAATAGTGATAATGGTTATCGAAAATCAAAGCTAATGTGTCAGGTTTCGATGAATTGAACTAAATGGTTGCCGCCCTACTAACAAAATTATGAAAACGTACAGTTGTCTACACTGTTACTTCACAGAACCCTCATAGTGTCCATACTGACCATTAGAGTGAGTGAGTATGGTTTTTCACCGCTTATAGCAATATTCCAGCAATATCACAGCGGGGGACACCAGAAATGGACTTCACACATTGTACCTATGTGGGGAATCAAACCCGGGTCTTCGGTGTGGCGAGCAAACGCTTTAACCACTAGGCTACCCCACCGCTCCACTGACCCTTAGAACTACTAGTTGGGCGTACCTGGAACCCCCATGTTTGTGAGTCAAGGTAAAACCCTGCTTTACTCAGACGCAGAATACTGACAATATCCTGACAGGGGTTGAAATAACTTTAAAATTGCTAGTGTACTCCGGTACAGTGGCACATGCAAAAACACTTGCTCTGATAACTTTTTCACTATACCAGCTGTTTTCTTGTTGATTTTTAAAATAAACAACATAATTAACATTGGAAAGTCAACTTGACACGGTACAATGTGATATACAAATTTGCTTGCCCGACAGAAAAAAACACTGGAGTCGGACGTCGGGCAATGGGTTATTCCAACCCCTGTCCTGAGCTCTCTTTGTTTAATATCTCTTTGATGATGGGTGTCAACAGAGACCATATAATATTATATGGTCTCTGGTGTCAGACAGGGAAAACTACAATGGTAAATACCATCTTTCCATGATTGATCCTGCAACCATCCACTGATAGATTTACTTATACCGGTACCACTAAACGTATTTTCTGCGTATGGGGGTGTCCTTTTGTCCTGTAAAGTTTATTATATGACCCGTGAAAACAGGTGAAGATGAAGAGTGCACCCCCCTTTCTCAAGAGCGTACACCCCCCTTTCTCAAAAAGCTGTATCCGTAGAGGAAAGGTTTATTCGTAAACATGGTAAAACAGTTACGAAATAAGATGGCGAACATATTCTATAAGCGCACCAATGTTTGTTTACAAATTTCTGAATGCAACACACTGCAACTAGACACACTCGATTCGAGTCGAACTGATTCTTGACTCGAAACACAATACCATTTTTAGCGTTTCCAGTTTTTCGAGTGTATTCTGCAGATCGTTTTGTTCTGCCTTCTTTTTCGTATATTTTCCCCTTCAAATACAACACATGGGCTCTCCCCGTGCGTGACAATAGCCACAATGAAGATATAAGATAAACTTACCTCATATTTGGGATGTTTTGATTCACGTGTAGAGCGTCCGGATATCGTTTACTGGATGACGAGTGCGCATGCGTACAAATATACTCAATGCTGTGGAGAGCGGTGTCGGTTGTGCAACGAAACTATGGGCACACGGTGTACAGAGTTTTGTGGCATTCGTGTTATTCCGGGACACGCCATAGTGTGGTTTAGCATCTCTGTTCCAAACGCAGCGTTGCGAATCCTACCTCACATACGCCAAACGTGCGCAAAACATTTGAAATTTTACTTTTTCCTAGTAATTTCTGAATCTCAAACTTGAATAGAAATGTTTTATTTCCAACGAACTGTAGAGTTTGAAGAAGTAATATGTCCCCTTTCTTCGAAATTAGGACCTTATATTTTTGACAGAGTGTATTGTCATAAAGCATGCAAAATAACTGAAAACTTCTACTTTTTTGTAAAACCCACATAAGAATATATTATGTAGAGATTATCACCCTTCCATATCTTGCCCCGTATCATATATATATATATATATATATATATATATATATATATACGACTGAGGCCGTTATAGGCCGAGATCAGATATGGGTCTCGGGATGATACGGGGCAACATATGGAAAAGGGAGGGTCATAATATTTCTGTCACTTAATACAAACCAAGCAATAATCGTTCATTTAAAAAACAATTACAAAAAATATTTCACTCAAACACTAAAAAAACATATTCGAAAACATAAACATGAAACAAGCACTATGCTACGTAATAAATTCAAGCATTCGCCTAAATAGTTTTGGAAAAGTCTCAAGTTAAATGATGATAATTCTCAAACCCAGAAACTAGAAATATTTCATGATCTTTTAAAATCTTTAAACGATTCATATGTTGGCGGCAATGATGATGTCGAGGAAGATCTCGTGAGGTTCATATAATAACTCTATGCCTAATAGAGATATTACATTAGAAGAAATACGTTCAGCTATTTCGCATCTGAAGCGTAACAAATCTTCAGGCCTTGATTTGATTGAAAATGACTATTTGCTTGATTCATTTTATATCCTTGGCGAGTTTTATGTTTCGTTTTTGATCTGATTTTATCAGATGCATGGTGTTATCCCTGATTCATGGTTGACCGGAGTGATTCGACCAATATATAAGAAAAAAAGGTGACTGCTGATCCGACCTCTTACCGGCCAGTTACAATTATTAGTTGTTATCAAAGTATTATCATACAACATAGAGGGTAGATTCTTCAAATTAATTCAAAGTATGCATAGTAATATAAAATCTTGTGTTATGGTTGACAACCAAATATCCAATTTCTTCTTTAGTTATTCTGGTATCCGACAAGGGGGAAATCTCTCACCATGATTATTTTCGAATTTTCTCAATGACTTGGATGTTTTTATTGAGAGCAAAGGTTGTAAGGGCGTCGACGTCAGTGGTGGGTGTGATGAGTTTGTGTACATGTGTATCAAATTCATTATTATGTTGTATGCGGATGGTGCGATACTTCTTCTTTGAATGGCATTATTTAGAAGTAGGGAAGTACGATGAACTCATCAACCAACCCTAACTGGTTTTATTTACTTGTACAAACATGTCTGTACCCCCCTACTGGCTTCTACTTGTAATCCCTTGTTACTGCCTTGATACTGGTTTCTACTGCCTTGATACTGGCTTCTACTGCCTTGATACTGGCTTCTACTGCCTTGATACCGGCTTCTACTTGTAATCCCTTGTTACTGCCTTGATACTGTCTTCTACTTGTAATCCTTGTTACTGCCTTGATACTGGCTTCTACTTGTAACCCCTTGTTACTGCCTTGATACTGTCTTCTACTTGTAACCCCTTGTTACTGCCTTGATACTGGCTTCTACTTGTAATCCTTGTTACTGCCTTGATATTGGCTTCTACATGTAACCCCTTGTTACTGCCTTGATACTAGCTTCTATTGTAACCCCTTGTTACTGACTTGATACCGGCTTCTACTTGTAATCCTTGTTACTGCCTTGATACTGGCTTCTACTTGTAATCCTTGTTACTGCCTTGATACTGGCTTCTACTTGTAATCCTCGTTACTGCCTTGATACTGGCTTCTACATGTAACGCCTTGTCATCACATCGTCATTGTACATCCCAATCAATGTCCTTGTTGTTTTAGTTAAGTATGTACTGTTTATATATTATTCTGTTTTTTACCTTACTCATACTAGCTTGACAATGAAACAAGAATCTGTATCGAAACGTCGCATCATCTGAATAAAGAAGTTGTTCATCCATAATGTGATACTTCTTGGCGAAACCCAGAAACAACGTCAGAATTCCCTTGATGTATTCAAAACATATTGTGATACATGGAAACTCCGTGTAAGCATAGCAAAAACTAAGATTATTATATTTTGAGGGGGTGTTGGTAATAAATCTAAACTATCTTTTCAGTTTGACTCTAAACCAATTGAAATTGTAAATAATTATACGTACCTTGGCATCAACTTTCACCGCAAAAGGAGATTTAATTTCGCAATCAATGATTTACTGTCTAGCTCTATGAAAGCCATGTTTGCATTACTGAAGAAATAAAATAACTTCTGTTTGGCACTCGATACTGTGATTCATCTGTTCGATATTTTAATACTACCTATTGCCTTATATGGGAGCAAAATGTGGGGGTATGAAAATACTGTAAATATTGAAGAGTTTCATCTTAAATTCCTTAAGTTTGCTACAGGCCTACGATTATCAACCCCAAACTTTATGGTTTATGGCGAACTGGGTCGTTTCCCTGTGAACATTATAATCGCTAAAAGGATGATCACGTTTTGGCATAATTCAGAAACTGCATCTTCCCCGTATAGGTTATCACCGCGTGTCCTTCAACTCTTCAAATAGACAACTATCTTAATCTCCGTAATAATAACGTATGGATATCTCACATTAAAAGTATTTTAAACAGTTGTGGTTTAACTTATGTATTTGAAAACCCTAGTTGTGTTTGTAAACAATGGCCAGTCTCTTAAAGATGGTTGAAATGGAGGGAAGATATTCATGTAAGTTCAAAGGGTAATTATATATACTGCAAAGATCTGCCGTCGTTTGAAAAATACCTTCTATTACCTGTATACGTCTCTCGGCCCATTATGTCATTTCGGACATCGAACCATAATTTACCGATAGAGACTGGCCGCTGGAAACATATACCAAGAATAAACAGACATTGGGCGTGACTTTTATGCTGATGACTCCCAATTGATGGACAGCTTTAAACCAAGTCCAGACAGTCAGCAGAAGGCCAAGGATAACATGGAGTCGTGTCTCAATGATGTCAAGTCCTGGATGACTAACAACAAACTGGTCTTAAACGATAGTAAAACAGAAACCATCACTATTGCTCCACGTCAAAGACAGTGTCAGCTTCCTTCCATTTCCATTGGACAAGCCTCAATCCCTTTCTCTCCCTCTGTAAGAAATCTTGGTGTTTATTGGGACTCAAGTCTAACTATGAAAAGTCATATCAACCACTTATGCAAAATATGTCCCTTCCATCTCGGAAATATTGGTTCCATACGCAACATTTTAACTATGGAAGCAACGACCACCCTCGTTCGATCTCTAGTTCTATCACGCTTGGACTACTGTAACAGTTTACTAATTGGTATCTCTGATGAACAATTACAGCGCCTCCAGAAAATACAGAATCAGGCTGCTCGCATCGTCACAAGGACAAAGCTACGCTCACATATTACGCCAGCTCTCAATTCTCTTCATTGGCTCCGGATCCGCGAGAGGATTCAATTTAAACTGCTCTCCCTTGTTTATCAGTCTATTACTAACATTGGCCCAGCATACCTCCAGGACTTGATAACACTGGACAAACGGGACAGATCTCTCCGCTCCAGTGATCAACTCTTGCTAGTTGTACCCGTGTGTACACTCAAAACCTTTGGTGCAAATTCATTTTCTAATGCTGCTGTCACTCTCTGGAACTCTCTACCATCAGATCTTAATACCTCTCCATCACTGCCAGTCTTTAAGTCCAAGCTCAAAACTCATCTCTTCAAGAAATATCTGTGAACGCCAACTTTCCTGTACATGGAACCTGTATGTTATGCGCTTAGAGCATGTCCCTGAGTGGTGTGGATGAGGCGTAAGTACTCTTATTATGTTTTACAGATTCAAGATGAAAATGCAGCAGAGAGGGCTCGAGTGATCCTGGCACAGTCTCACTGGTAAGGCTCATCATCAGCTCAGGACCCTTGCCCCCTCTACACGCAGCCAAGACAGCGAATGGGACTTTTCCCAAGAAACGCTGCCTAGTCGAACCTCCCAAGGACCTTCCGGAGAATATGAAGGCTCCCCAACACTTCAGCCTTCTGCATTACCTAGAGTGTCAGAAGGGCTGTACTCCCGGTGGAGAACCCGGGCACTCTTCTGATCTGCACCAAGAGATCAGGAGGTACCAAACCAAGGGCACCGAGAACAATGGGGAGCCTGACGACAGTGTACTTGGGATGCAAGCGAGACATTTCAAAGGCGAGGTCCGCATATTTATCATGTTTTTCCTGAATCTTGCCAATCACGTTGCTGTCAAAAAAGGGACAGAAAATAATTATTATTATTACTATTATTATGAATGCTGATAATCTGGAATATGGTGTTTGTTTAGATGACACCGTCCAGTGGACAGTCATAGCCCCCGCTTTCTATATATATGGGGGACGGTGGGGTAGTCCTGTGGTTAAAGCGTTAGCTCGTCACGCCGCTGATCCGGGTTCGACTCCCCACATGGACACAATGTGTGAAGCCCATTTCTGGTGTCCCCCTCCCCAATATTGCTGAAATATTGCTAAAACTAAAATTCATTCACTCACCCATTGATCGCTAATCTTGGCAGTATTGCAGGCGGCTGCAGTCAGTATTACTCGACTACTATTAGGGACACCACAGATTGGCCCTGCACCTTAAACTGATGTGCGTAAAGGGCATAAGATTAGAAGTGTGGCGGCGTAAAGATTGAACTATTGGACAGGAAAGGCCACATCACGCCACGTGTTCTTGCGCGCCAAAGAGTCCAGTTTTAAAACGCTTCTCAGTTGTGCTAGAATTAAGAT